CCTTCGCTTTCACTTCCTTTCCTTGCTTTATGATGCTTAGGTGATTTCCCTTAAGGTCCTGGTCATCAGTTCTCACCTCTTGGGTCCGATTTTTTTATTTAGCAGTTTAATTTTAAACCCATTACACGCACATGCACACGTCCATAACCCATTGACCCACTGCCATCACCCTTCATACTGGTTCCTTAGTAACTTTTTTGTTAAACCGGTTACTTATTCGGCTCATTCTTCAATCCATCGTGGTTTAGTCCATTTCAGTACTGCTGCTGTCGTTGTTGACCTTTTCCCCATACGTCCTGCACAAAGTACGGTTGACAGTCGGCAGTTCTCGATGTGACTTCTACCACAACCGGCTGATCAACCAAATCTTTCTTAGTTCTGAGTTCAGATAGGACCATTACCGTAAGACATTCTATTGGTTAAATCGACACAAGCTGTTGTCACTGTGTGCGAATTTCTCGATGGAGCACGAAAATAACAGCTCATTTCAATGCGACTGGACGAAAACATAAAATATATCTCCTGTTCTTTTTTATAACAACTATCTTTTAATTCTACCAACTAATAAAAACTAATATAACTACAATGATGTTAAGACATTTGCAAAACTCCGGACCGCAGGTGTCTGCAGTGGGGAACGAACGCAGTATTACACTTTCCGGGGCTAACGCGTTCACCACTATACCATGCAGGTCATTGGCTTTGTCTGTCTCTCAGCTAGCTCTATCGATCAGCACCATAATGATCATAGAATCACTGTGGTTGTATCACACATGATACTTTGCGTGAAAAATTGTAATGGGCAGTAAATAAAAAAGTTAACGAATATAACTATCCTAAAATGAAAGCTGCTACCGTAACCGACTTTGTGGTTACAGTTCATTGGCAAAATAAAGTGCAAACTTCACACTCTCCCCGGAAATTTATGGCGATTTCCGTCACTTCGTAGTGATAAATGGGGTAGAACGAATGGTGACCAATTCAGCATAGGGGCTTAAAATGTCGCCTTAATCGCCGCCCTAAAATGTCAAGCGACAAGACTCCAGAAAGTACCGTGAAAACGTGGGCGGTCGAATGCATAGTTGGCTTTCAGAAGCCTAATAATATATCAAGTCAGTGTCCTTTCTCTTAGATTGGCCTGCAAGAAACTTGCCCATCTCAAACATGAAGCTCTTTAGCTAGCTCTGAGCCCGGGATCGAACCAAAAATCTGAGGACCGCATAGGAAATGTAGCCACCGCGCCACAGTCACTCCTAGCCGTAGATCTTTCTTTTCTCTATTATCGGTTAAGTGTAAAACGCGAACATTGAACGATTCTTTTTCCTTCTATTTCAGTAATAATTACCTCATTCAATCTACTTTGTACTTTAGTTTTTGCTTCTTTTTACGATAAAAAACAACGACGGCAATTGTAATCTGCTACTGTAACTGTCTAATTGGCAGGGAAGTTATAGATAATATGAGAAAAAACTTGTAAACATCGCTGTTTCATTTTTTCTTCGCCATAAAACGAAACGATTAACCATCCAGGGAAAAAACTGATTATGGTAGTGGATGGCGGCTTTATCGTAATGGGTGCTTTTGCATCAACTCACAGCATCCTTACTTCTACTTAGTGTATCCTGGTCTTTTACGCCTATTTCTACTGATTAGGCAGATATAGCGCAAATGATTAAAAGTGTCCTGCAATTCACACGTGCTCTTTGGTTCGGTCTCGCGCGCCGGACTAACCAAGCCTTCCGTCCCTTCTGGGTCGAAAAATTGGTACCGGATTTGTCCGCGAGGGTGAATAGCCTTTATGTATGACTTTGATGTGATGTGATTACGTTTTCATTTCTCATGATATCGAATGTTAAGTTATTGATCATTATTACCGAGGTTTAATGGAGGTCGGTTGTTAAGGTGTTAAATTGCTCTCGTATATCCTACGTTTTTCTTGCAGTAGTTGATAAACGATAAAAGTCCTAATTTGATAGCAGTACATGGTGATAAAACCATTCTTAGGCTCCTCTACAAGTCAATCAGCTATTACTAGCTATGTGAACCACAATTTTTGGTCGTTTTGATGGGTACAAATCCGAACCAGCGACCTTATGAACGCGACAAACCCCTTATTGTATTGAACTACGAAATTCTTCCTTCTACTATGTACTTCTGCTATGGATTTTATGTTTATACTTAATCAAATGATGTTTTTTCCAAAGGAAGGCAAAGCAAGGACCTCGGTTAGTGTCGTGGGCAGCACGTGAGCCCCGGCTAAAGGTAATCGCGAGCTCGAATCTCACCTGAGGTTCTGTGTTTTGATGTTTGAAATTGAGCTCTTCGTTTTCTCTTTCACTTTATTCGCTCTCTCACTTTCTCTCTCTATCTATCTTTATCGCTCTCTATCTCTGTTTCGACCTCTCCAATAGACACACTCTCTTTGCTTCCCTGTCATTGTAAACCAATAATTGCTCTTCCTTGCTAACTGATAAACAGAACATCAGTTGTCGTGGGACTTCTTTATCAAAAAAAAATCGACACTTCAGTTCATTTCCGATATGTTATGTCTCTCCCATCGTAAAAGTTGATTTTTTTCCTAGTTTGTTTTTTCTGCAAAAACTAAAGCTGATTGATCGAAACCACTTGCAAACTCTAATCGATATAACTCCCACGTCCGACTTTCTATTAACCTCGGTATTAATTGAATAATTCTTTTCACTTCTGTTCAGCAAACACGTGGTGTTACTTTATTTCTTTATTTACGTACAAGCTGACGTTTCGGCGGATTTCGCCTTCTTCAGAGTTTAGAAAGGTCAAGTTGACTGCAATGTACACGGCCAATTTATTCGATATGCCCTTAAAGTGAAAAAAAGGGGAAAAAAAAACTAAAATCCATCGAACGTTTATTGAGAAACGCCCAACCGTATTGACGAAACTTCGCTCTCAACCCACAACTGGTTGGATGGTTTCTATTCGTACCCAGATGTAATCAGCTTTCATTTTCTCTTTCGTCTTCTTTTTTTTACGTTTAGGAAAAATCCGTTATTCATCTCATATCATAGACTATAAAAAAGATAAAAAGGATAAAGCTCTTGGCGTTGATCAATCCTTGAGGGATGCGCCATGCATTCGACTTCACTAAGCATCGTTTGGAGGTAACTGAATGCATATCTGGCCTTTAAAATGACTCGAGGTGACCCACCGATGTGTCGAGCAGTGCTGCTGTCCTCCCAGACCAGTCTGCTACCAATTTGCCGGGCAAGGAGGGATGAAAAGCTTGGTGGGCCATGGACGCGGAGGTGGATTCTAAAAGTGTGTTGCAGGGCGCCTCCGACCGCTGCACCAAGCGTAGTGAATATGTCATCACAAAGTACGATGGAGAACTAAGAAAGGGAGGAAATTCACAAAATGTGATAATAACATAAGTCATTTTCGTAAGTTACGTGACTATCCTAAAGACGAATATTCAGTAGATCTTGACATTAGTCAACAAAATATTGTATTTCCTCCCTTCAGTTTACCGCCTCATCGTGGCTGGGAGGTGTTCCTGGGTGCCGGACTGCGATGTACAGCGGGTGATTCATCCTCTGGCAGGGTCTCCCAAGCTGAGATGGAGTCCGGTTTTTCCATCAGGAAGCCTAGCTAAGAGTAAACCAGTACCAAGATCCACTACCGTCTTGGTATCAAACTCGCATGGTGGTAAATCTCCCTCTGATCCACAAGGACTGCGACTACCTGTGGCGGTGAAGACCTGGGGTAGATTTTGGCCAGGCTGATCTCGGGACTCCAGAGAACCATAATGACTTAACCAGCAACTCTCCGAAAAATGGTGATTATGCTGAGGCGCGCACAACCAGTGGGAACAGGCCATTCAAGTATCAAGTATCAAATATTGTATTTTCATGAGTACCTCCTTGATAAAACGATAAAGTTTTATCCTAGGTGAACACCACAGTTAGTCTCACATTTCTCATAGAGGAATGATGTTGTGAGAAGTAGAATTCGCCGAAATGCTAGTAATTGAAAACTAAGGAAACCTGTTGAGAACCTCCGTATCAGCAATCAAGGACACAAAAAGAACACAGCAACGAAATGATAAGGAGTAAACCGTTCGACGTTATTCTGTTTGTTAGAGATACATCATTACCATCAATTTCATCTAAGAATTCTAGACGTGATTCAGTTCATATTTGGGCTCTCCGGAGACTTGGGATGGCCTGCTGCTGTAGAGAGCCAGTGTTTTTACCCTCCTAGACTAATCTGACAGCAGTTTGTCTTGCCGGGAGGATTTTTCCACAACTGCGAAATCGAACCAACAACCATCTGTTTACTGCACGGCGTTTCTAACTATCATGCTAAATGCGTTTCATATGAGCAATATAAATTAAAAATAAGAGCACTTTTTCAAACTATCCTCGACATTTTGAAAGTTCGAGAAAGATTCATCCATGAAGGGAATGGCTGCTGTACCGGATTTCTTTTAGAACCTTATGACAACCACCTATTATGGGTTTCGGTACAATTTTCTATCTCTCCACCGAAAAATTTTGAATGTGGTTCACTTTTAGCACCGTATTTTTTTCTGAAGGGAGCGTGTGGAGCAGTGGTCGGAGGTGCCCCGCAACACACACATGGAATCGATCCTCGCGCCCATGGCTTATCAAGCAGAGTATCATGACTCCATACCTCCAGAGTCGGCAAATTGGTACCAGACTTGCCTGGGAGGATGGCAACACTGGCTCGATGGATCAGTAGGCAACCGCGAGTCATTGTAAAGGCCAGATATGCATTCATTCACTTCCAAACGATGCTTATTGAAGTCGTATGCATGGCGCATCCCTCAGGGATTGATCAACGCCGAGAGCTTTATCCTTTTTTTTCGATCCTTCATTGTCCATTGTCGAATACAGCACTATTTTCTACAACTGGAAATGTTTTTAACTAAAACCAAGTTTTCCTCTGAACAGCATGTCGGTTAAAATACAGGACAAGTGGTGTCTAATATGATTTTCAGATACATGGGTACCGGTACCGAATCTCTCCCGCTTCTACCAAAGATACTAGGAATCATTCTCATTGTCGTCATTGCGCTATATCTGTTTCCGATACTCATACCTCTACTGGCCGGACTCATTCTAGTTGTTGTTGCTCTTCTGAAGAACAAGCCATGTGATCCTAATCATGTACGTTACCATCCATTTTTCCAAATATCGGCACTACAGTTCAGCTACCGTAGTCTTCATGGTGATGGGCACCACCGTAGATGTCGTTGAATTCTGTGTGCATCTTGTAACGCATATCAGCCCATTTGCAACTTCATCGTGGTTCGCTTCCATATATTGTCTCCCCGCTCATCAAACTAGATATTATTGATCGGACTGTGGGAAATCGATATTTGTATTCGATACACATGGATTTCATGGATTCTCCAATTCGCTAATTCCACCTGTAGATGCAAGAGAAGTCTTGACGACAGTAGTGAAAAATACTATCATTCGGTGGTTCCCACCACACGTATCCGGACACGGTAGCCTGGTCAATGAGTGCATGTAGGTGCGAAAGTTTTTCGACGGCTTCCGTATTGGAGGACATCGTGGTGCTCCAAATTCATTCCCAGAGAACGGAATGGCCGGTTTCATGCAGGTATATTAGTGAATTTCTATCAATGTGCAACTTTTTTCTTTAGCCCTGTTTCCTACGTAGGCCAAAAACGACGGTGCCGATCTGATCGAATTCGACGTTTCGCTCACGAAAGACGGTGAGGCAGTGCTTTTACACGACGATGATTTGGATCGAACCACTAACCTGAGCGGTCCGATACGCGAAAAAACACTGGCGCAGCTAGAATGCGCTAATATTAGCGCTAACTTCAAAAGAACAACGTATAAGAATTATCTGCTTTGCGCTTTCATAGGAATTTCACAAGTGTAGAAAAGAAAACGGGTGTTATACTATTTTTATAGGGAAGGAGACTTGGCACCCGTTCAGAAGGAAGGTATTCCCAAACTTGAGGCCGTTGTGAAGTGGGCGATTGAAAACGATATGAAGATGTTGTTTGACGTTAAGGATTCGGATCCAGAGGTTTGTCATTTTTGTCATATGTGAGCTAAAGATCTGAACTAAGTGTCGTATACATACGATGCTTGAAGAACACCTAAGTGTAGCAATTCTAGCTAGTGCACATAATCGCAAATCTATTCGAGAAGTACGATCTTTACGATAAGGCCATTGTGTGCAGTTTCTATCCATGGGTAGTTTACCTTATCAAACAAGGCAATCAGAAAATTCTCAGCGGTAAGCTGAAATGTTTCGATGGCATTGGCGGATGGAAGTACGATTTACGACTGATATTTCTTTACAGGGCTTACATGGCGTCGTAAATTCTTCTCCTATAAAGATATCGAAAACACATTACCTCGGTACACCGGTTTGTATCACTACCTCTATGTTCTTATCGATATCATTCACGTATTTCTGCTAAGAATCGTAACACCATGGTTCCTCGGCGTTGATTTACTTCTCACCAACAATCTGGACATTTCGAAGTGAGTATTTGAAAATGATTTGATGGATTTTTGAGATGGTTCGTGTAACGGGACATGAAACAGAAACTAGTGAAATTAGCAGGAATGCTGTTGCTGATCGTCATGTTCGTTGTGCCACCCGCCTCATTGTGGATGGGAAGTGTTCCTGGGTGACGTGCTGCGATGTACACCAGGGGTTAATCCACCCATGAGGGTCTCCCAAGCTGAAAAGGAGTCCGGCGTTTCCATTAGGAAGACAGCTAAGAATAAACCAATATCAGGATCCACCACCGTCCTGCTATCAGACTAATCGCATGGTGGCAAATCTCCTGATCCATAAGGGCGGTGACTGCCTGTGATGGTGACGACGTAGGGCAGACATTGACCAGGCTGACCTCGGGACTCCGGGGAAGTACAGTGGCTAAGCCAGTGAAATTCCGAAAAATGTAAATAATTCTAGGACCCTCACATTTAGTGAGGACGAGCCATGTAAGTATCCAAGTGTGTTCGTTGTGACGGTATCTATCTCCTTTCCACATACAACGTGGCACTTTCGTAGGACATCATCCCCAAAGTTTAGGAAGCAGATAAGTTGCTGATAGGACAGCACATCAGTAAACAGTCAATAACACCAGCTGCTTATCATTCGTGTGCTCTCATTCAGTAAACATAGCGACAACCACTTCAGTAGCAAAACAGAGGCAATATTTCCCAGGTTGGACACATCGCCTCAGACAACGAACGACCAGTACACAACCCGACTTTCGAAATATCAAGAACCAGTTTTAGGTCTTCTTTCATCTAATATCGTTTTCAGCCACATTTATTCGTCACTAACCAATCACCACATACAAAAACTACTGGAATAGATACAGTAACATCAGTTTTGCGAAAACCAAAAATTCAATGAACCTGTTAGATGGCTATTATTGGACCTAAAATGGACGAATTCCCGTTATATAACAGAATCCAACATTGAATTCATGTAGCCGTTGGTTATTAGGCACCTATGTTATTTTTTTCTCATACAGAAGCTTCGTGCTCGAGCAAAAAGGTCGAGGTTTACACGTCGCCGTATGGACGGTAAACGATGTGGCCGAAATGCATTGGATGCTAGAAGAGTTGTCAGTACCAATCCTCACTGATCATCCATCGTACGTCAGCAAAATCTCTCATCTAAGACTCATACGTGGTCAAGACTACAACGAACCAGCGCTGCAAAACGCTGCTAACCGTGTTAGTACTGCCGACTTTACAAAGTAGATATCTTGATCTGTATTTCTCCTCGATTCTTTTTTACTGCTAAAATCACCTCAATTGATGGATTTGAATACCTAGTTGAAAAAGCAATACGAAACTCTCAGGTTGATCCATGTTAATGTGATTTCATCTTAAGAGTAATAAATAGCTCTTATGTTCTTGTAGAAGCGATGGAACATTTCTACCAAAGAAGCTCGTCTCAAATCCGGAAATTTCGAGAATTTTAGCTATTTGGGAACCACGAAACACTTTCGAATTATTTATATAAGACGGCAAAAAGAGCAGTTGAAGGATCAATTATCATGAATAGAAGCTAAAAGTCGTTTCTACAGTCGTTATAGTTTTCTACTTTTGCATGACCCAACATTCCAGCATTTCCCTTCATTCAATTCATTTCTTCGCATCTCTCATCCACAATGGTCATTGAACAGCTCTCGGTTGCCATGGGTTGCTGCTTGAAGACCTCTGCCTTTGAAAGGAATGTCGTTAAATGCTAGTCGACGTGGCTCTCCTTGGAATACTTATACAGCCGCTCTACAGCGCTTCTAGGTCTTGTGGAGTGAATGGGGCTTCCCAAATTAGCATTTTTGCTATCCCGAAATGATAGAGGACTTAGGTAGCTTAGCAGTGGTAGAACCACAACTTGTGCGTATTGAACGGCATCACCAACACCGCGCCCCGATCACATAAACGAGCACAGTTGTATTGTCTCGAAATATGTATAAAGCGAAAAGAATTATGAGATAACAAGGTACTGATTACTTTCGCGAAAGTTGCTCAATATTCATTCCGAACAAAAATATTTTCCATTAAAATAAGGACAAAATGTCCTTATCACAAAAACGTGTGTAAATCACTTGGGATTCTGCTTAAATTTCTAGGAAAACTGTGTTCTTTGATACCGTTTGTCTTATCCTAGGAAAAAACAAGTACAGTATTCAAATGTCCAAAAAATATTTCTAATAAGACACTTATTCTGTTACACTAGGAGCGGTCTGTAATCCCGTTAGTAGCCTATCAAACCTCCCATCACTAACAGGGTCAGAAGATCCGTACCAGAGTTTTCTGGGATGATTTCACTCTCTCCAATTTACGTGGGAACGCACTAGCACAACTATGCCAGGATTTCAAGTAGAATCGATTTGGTAAGCTTCCAGAAGCGTTCATAAAGGGACGAAAACTGTCAATGAGCAGCTCAACTCACATATTTCCATGTCTACAGTGGATAATGGATATAAGGATACGAATCGAGTGTAAGAAGTGCACAACCCGCAAAATATGTGATTTAGGACCACGTAAACAAATTAAAAGCAACGTGAGTACTGTGAACAAGAAGATGAACTTTGCCCAACAGTTACCTATTTAGTTCCATGGTTCGTCTTCTTGTTTCCACGTATTCCCTGACAATTAGCAGCTGCAGTGAGTCGGTGGGTTATTATAGGGGGATGAGTGATGATGTAAAGGGTCATAAACATAGGGAAACTGCAGTAAAAGTTATGAAGTCCAAAGTAACGGAGAAAGAGCACATCAATCGAAGGCCAACTCACTTTACCCTAAGTAAACGATGGGTAGGCACACATATTTTGAAAACGTAGCTAACGTAAACCTACTGATACCCATTGTATGAGGTTACTTAAAACAGCTCGACTAACACCATAACTTCGAGATCATTAAGGATAGCAAGAAAACATACGTGTAGGCACATAAATAAAAGAGGAAGAGAAGAAAGATAGAGCACAAATAGGAGATGGAAACAAATTGAGGGTTAGTAAAACGGTAAAATTAAAACAAATAGAGAAAAACAGGAAACATCTACTTTCCAGCAGCAATAAGGAAAGGTTAAAGCCAAGTAACAACTCGATATTTCAATGGTCCAAATACGTCTCGATGACTCTCAATACACCTCACCGATAACAGTTATCGATGACCATGTCCTAACCGACCAGTTTCACAAAATCAAGTTTCCTCCAGATCAGATTCCGAGTCCGAGCTAAAGAATTCATTAGAGGTTGGCCGGATTCGTCGCCTAAAAAACAACAAACAAAGTGTGGTTCCTTTGTTTCAAGGAATGACGACACCTTACACGTACCTCCGTTGAACTTTTGTCGATTCTTTGTCCCTATATTTACGAACAAACAAGGAATCGTTTTCAGCTTTTCTAAAAGAAGCAGAACATGACAGTAAATGGGCAAGAAAATGATACTCCACAGCTTACGATAACGGAAACCGTTTTGATTTTGACCCAGCAGAGAATGAAGACAGAAGACGACGAAGGTTTTGCGGTTGTGAGTTCTCCTGGTAGTAGTACGCTGAACGTGAATGTTCAGGAAGTTCTACGCACTGCGACCGGTCTGATAGAAGGAATCCTGCCGATTTTCTTAAAAAAAATCTAGTAAAAGCGAAGAAGGAAGCTTTCAGCGTTGATCAATCCCTGAGAGATGTATCGTGCATTAGACATCGTTGGAGATGACTGAATGCATACGTGGCCCTTACAATGAGTCGCGGTGGGCTACCGATGCATCGAGGCAGCGCTGCTATCCTCCCAAACAAGTCTGGTATCAATTTGCCGACCCCGGAGGAATGAAAGGCTTGGTGAGCCTGGTCCGCTGGGATCGATCCTATATGTATTGCAAGGCACATCCGACCACTGCGCCACATGCGCCCTTGTAAATTCTAACACTTCACTTAATAAATAGCCGATATACGCTTGCAAAGCGCTAATAACGAAGTAAAAAAGCGCAACTGAGTAGAGTCGTTCCCAATTGGTGGGTTAAAGTGATTAGGAATAGAAATGTAAGAAAAAAATTAGGCACTCGATAGCCAATCCAAAACATAATTCATAGCTTTCTTTGCATATTCGTGCTAATTCTATCTGGATACTATGCTCCAGAACATTTTGACTCACTTCTTGCCGACGGAAACGTTCTCACCATGACCCTTCGGTGTCCGCCGAAAAACCTGTTGCCTCCAACCATTATCATCGTTATCGAGAATTAGATATTTTTGCTTCCCATTATCCTCATCATCGTTACCACCACCATCATCATCATCATCATCATAACCATTGATATTGTTGCTCCTACTATGTTTCAAGCTTGGTGTAAACTATAACAAATGGTTGTAAAAAACAATAAAGGACAGAGCTCTTGGCGTTGATCAGTCCCTGAGATGTGCTATGCATTCGACTTTATTAAGCATCGTTGGAGGCGACTAGATACATATCCGGCCTTTATAATGGCTCGCGGTGGTCTACTGATTTATCGAACCAGTGCTGCTATTTTCCCAGACAAGTCTGGTACCAATTTGCCGACCCTGGAGAGAAGGAGGTCTTGATGGGCTTGCGCCGCTACAAATACCTGTACTTGACTAAAAGTACGTGTCAACGTAGAACAACAACATGGTGCTTACGCGTATTCGACTTCTCACAAAAAATAAGGTTCAACTTACTGGTTTGAGTATCTTGACTCTTCATCATACAAATCCTCTTCGTCCTCAAGAATATGCCCTTCCTTACCATCAACAAATCGAGCAAGTCTGAATGTGTAGAAATAGTGTTTTGCAATGAATTTCAGATTGATTATTGACAGATATCACCTAAAAATTTTTTGCAGATGGGTTTGCAGGTTAAAATCTTGGTCCTTAAAACGGTGGCCCTATAGAATAACGACGAAAAATAACTTTCTCTTGAAACAAACTATCAACAGATAAACTTCGTTTGAATAATTTTAGACGAAATAACTTTGTTTCGAAAGCTGAACAGCTGAAAATCCCAATAGTTCCCAGTGAAGAAACGTTAATATTGTTAAATTCAGCTGATAAAGCCTACAGGATATCATCTTTTCTACCTTCTAGGATCGCGAACCCTGCAGGTAAGTTTCCACACATCAGCTTCTGGACTCCGACAAAATTCTCGTAGACGTTCGAGCTCCCGCCTTGTCACTTCTTGGCCTTCTTTTTCGTATTCTTCTTCAGTTAATAAACGTAGTTTTGGAGGGAAAATCTTCCACCTAGATCTATCAACTTTAGTAAAGTTACTCGGCGCTTATTAAGCAAAAGAAGAATCCCAGGCTTATGAAATATTACCAGATATTAGTTAGTACACTAGCAGTTCTATGCAACGGATTCCAGAAAAACGAACGTGTGAGGCTGTGTAGAAGAAGTATTGAAATTATACCCACGGAAAGTTCTTCCATCTGAAAAACAAAACTGTGAAATAAGTTTTGGAATTGAGACGATGACCCACCTGTGTAGTTGAGTAAATAAGAATTAGTGCTATCGCTTGTAAAGTCCATTGAGCAATATCATGAGAACGGCTATCTTTAGGGGGCCCTCTTTTATAGCACACAGCAAAAGAAATAGCTAGAACGGTCACCTAAAAAAGTAAACATCTTCACCTTCTATCAATACTTATAGATTAATAAAGAACCCATTCTTTCATTATAGATCCCTTTGGCTCGAAGTGCTACCGTCAAAACAATAGATCCAAACATAAATGGCAAGATACAACTTTTTTCAATAACTAACGTTACAACGCTAATGAAGACAAACATAATGTAACCGCATTTTATGTACTGCCTATACTTTTTCTATGGCAGGGTATGATGTGAAATATAACCATAATGATGCTGAGATACTTGCAAACTTCGAACCGCAGGTATCTACGGCGGGAACGAACCTCGTTGTTATCTTTTCTGGAGCCTAACGTGCTCACTACCACACCATGCGGGTCCTTCGTTTCGTCGTTAAAATAAGACTGAGAGAAAGGTGAAACTAAGGACCAGCATGGTGTGATGGTGAACACGTTGGACCACGGAAAAGGTAATAACGAGGGCCTGCAGTCCGGAGTTTCGTAAATATCTCAGCATCATTGAAGACAAAGATAGTCGTTTCGTAAACAGATATTAGTGAAGAAACCTATACATACAAAATAAGCGAGGAGAAGCTTCTGATACTGGACGAAAATCGTCCCGGAATTCTTCCATATGAAGTGCAGGACGTAGAATGATAAGGACCATCCGCCAATGATAAACGGTAGTCGTACAAGAGACTTAAAAAGCGATTAAATAATACGTCAAATCAAGAGGTGAAAAACGCACAATTATGGAAAATTATGTCTACAGAAGTACACAAGGGCAACACTTTCTCGTAAGCAAAGATGCAGCTGATGCCAATCATCTTTGGACAAACCTTTGGTGCTATTCTGTACATGATAAAGACGATAATAAGTAGTGATGTCAGCAACCCCAATGAACAACCACTTCCATAGAAGAAAAACGAGTTCCGAGCCAAATTTTTTGCAAAAATAAAGAGGAGAATGCTGGATACAAAAATTCCAAGACGAATGTAATTAACTTCTGAAATGGAAAAATAAACTTATGGTGAGTCGGAGAACAGCTAAAGTCTAAAAATACAAAAAATTTGAAGAAGCTCCAATTTGGCAAAGAAAACTATAATTTAGTACACGTAGATTGCTAATACCTCGCAACGGTGTACCGCCGCCTCGTCGTGGCTAGGTGCTCCTGGGGTGTCGTGTTGCGATGTACAGTGAGGGGACTCACACCCCAGCAGGGTCTCCCAAGCCGGGAAGGAAACCGGCGTTTCCATCAGAAAGCCCAGCTAAGAGTAAACCAATATCAGGATGCAACACCGTGCTGGTATAAAACTAGTCGCCTGTTGGCAAATCTCTCTCTGACCCACAAAGGTTGCGACTGCCTGTGGTAGTGACGACCCGAAGAAGACTTTCCCCATGCTGACCTCGAGACTCCAAGGTACCGCAATGGGTAAACGAGCAAACTCTGAAAAAATGGGGACAACGCTGGGCCCGCATAATAAGTAGTGAAGATGGGTCATCCAAGTATCCTAGAAAATTGTTAACGTGAAAATTAACTCCTCACTCAGTATTCCAGCATGGACGGTGTAGGGTAAACGAGTCGAAATTCCGACGAACGTGTCATTGAAGACGTTAAGCTGACGGCTTCTCCAAAAATTAGCGCTTTTTAGCAACCCAAATAGGCGATTGTCGTACTGAAAATCTTCTTGCACCACGCTACAATTGTGAGCCTAAAAAAACCTAAAGTAAGGAAGAATGGTAGGCGTTAACAATTCCTTTCTGACAAGCCATGGCAAGATTGATAAGAAAAGTGGTGGTGTACTGATCAATTTTATGACCGACTAGGCATGAACTATAAGAAGAAAGTCAAACATTTAAAGGGGAACAAAAACGGGAAGAAAGACAAATAACGTAGAAAAGCGTACTTTGTAAAGATCGTAAGTATCCTCGTCGGTTAGGTTAAGTTCCAAAAAAATATCCGTAAAAGCATTCGCTAGGGAGTAGCTTAGTCCTTGATGGATATATAAATCCAGTTCATGGTTTGTCTTCCCTGGTACGATCCACTTCGACAACCCAAGCACTGAAGGTAGGAAGCATTTATATCCCTACATAATAAACTGCCTATAAATGAAAAAAAGGAAAGAGAAAAACTGTGAATATCATTGCGAGCAGCGAACTGCAGTGCACAGAGGTTTCATACACAAGGAGGAATAAAATATTCCTAAAGGAAGCCCTGCAAAGAGTAAAGCTATACTAGAACTCGCCACCGTTCTAAAAAGGGACATCTATTACGACCGATGAGTACTTATAGTTGGAAAATCGCTGGTACAGGTTCTCACTGGATAGGAAAGAGAAGAGCTTCTCTAACTAGCTTCATGTCATTGCAGCTAAAAAATCCACAACAGTTCACACGGATGATTTCGAGTTACTGGACAAACAATGTTATAAACGAGGAGACATTTACCCGGATATGGTTCTTAGTAAGCCCGTCCATGACTTCTACGAGCTGTTGGAATCGAAGATAACTTACTTGAACATGATGAAATACTTACTTGGATACTTGAATGCCTGCCCTCATTGGTCGTGCGAGCCCGAGCATTAATACCACTTTTTCAGAGTTTTGCAAGCTTAGCCAATGTGGCTCCCTGTAGTCCCGTGCTCAACCTGGCCAGTCTGCCCCATCTCTTCATTACCACAGGCACTCACCGTCCTTGTGGATCAAAACGAGATTTATTACCATGCGACTAGTCTGATAGCAGGACGGTGCTGGATCTTGGTATTGGTTTACTCTCAACCGGGCTTCCTGGTCGAAGCACCGGACTCCTCAATTTGGGAGACCCTTCTAGGGGACTTGGTGAAATAACTAAAAAAAAGAACTGGTAACCAGTAAGTGCTCACCTCTAGCTTGACAAACGGTAGTAGAACAGCTTCGTTGAGATAGCAATACTAAGGAAAGGCAAGTAAACAGCGACGAAAGTCGCTTCCAGTGAATCATCTAAAAACCGCTCATTCGACAATCGTAGCAAAAAGCACAAAAGATCGACGGAACTACTGTACTAACAAACCAGTAACCTTATGAAAATTACACGACTTTTGTAGATATGAAACTAAAATTTGTTAAAGCCAATAAAGAAACTTTAATGGTTGATGGTCTGGTATTCCTTAAAGCACTTACACTCTATGCTCCCCTTTAAAGTCAAAGATGATCTCTATTTAGAAAAGAAAAGTAACAAACTGTTCAGTAACCGCGTAAAATACAACCACAATGATATTGAGATATTTGCAAGACAAAGACCGCAGACGAGATTGAACCAGCGAGTACCCCTTACGATGGCTTACGTGCTACCCACTGCACCGCTGACGGCTTCCTTCTGCCTTTCGGTCACGGTCAGTCAGTTCTGTCCAGCACATCACCATCGGAATCGTTAATCTTACAAGAGATCGAAATGGTGCCCCAAGATTTTTTTTTCGAAATTTTCTATTGGAGCAGGAAAATGCGAATAGGTCGCCAAATGTTAAGCGCGAGTAAGCATCATTGTCCTATGCGTCTAATTAGTCTTTGGCTTCTCGCCAAATGTAGCAGTCGATTCTGGTGATGCTAAATATTGTTCGTTTTAATCCTTAAAGCAGTTATTTCTTACCAGGTCTCAACTAAGGTAAGGTTATGTGTATTTAGTATTGGATTCAATTCGTAAGAGTGTTTAGTAGTTGTTGAAATCTAAAAGAAAATTAGCCTCGTTTCTATCTACTAACTTACTTTAGCTATATTAGTTCATTCTATTCATGGACAAACTGTTTCTATAGGGAGGATTATTGTAAACCTAAAACTTAACGATTTTGATACCGTAAAACGAATACGGGTACAGTCGAACTCGCTTTATAAATATCCTTTAAAGCTTAGTCTCTTAAAGGATAAAGGGTAAAGCTGTTGACGTTGATCATTCCCCGATGGTTCGCCATGCATTCGACATCACTAAGCATCGTTGGAGATGATTGAATGCATATCTGGCTTTTACAACGACTCGTGGTGGCTCACCGATGTATCCAGTCAGTGCTAGTATCCTCGCAGACAAGTCTGGTACCAATTTCCCAACCCCGGAGAAACGGAAGGCTTGGTGGACCAGGGGTGCTGGGATCGATCCCATTCATGTTGCAGGGTGCCTCCGAACACTGCGCCACGCGCCCATAAAATCTTAATCTCTTAAGAATCTTAGAACCGTTAATAAAGAGGAAAAGAAGAAAGAATAGAAGGTTGTGCCTCTAAAAGAATACAGATCTTCTCGATACGCTTTGTTGTTTTTGCAATAGACCTAGTATGTCGGGTTTCGAGATGTCCTTAGTATGCCTTCAATTCAAGTCTCTTAAAGCATAAAGGATAAAGCTCTCGGCGTTGATCAATCCGTGAGGGATGCGCCATGCATTCGACTTCATTAAGGGCCGTTGGAGGTGATTGAATGCATATCTGGCCTTTACAATGACTCACGGTGGCCTACCGATGTATCGAGCCAGTGCTTCTATCCTCCCAGACAAGTCTGGTACCAATTTGCCGACCCCGGAGAGATGGAAGGCTTGGTGAGCCAAGGGCGCGGGGATCGATTCCACGTGTGTGTCACAGTGGCGCCTCTAACCACTGCGCTACACGTGCCCATTCCAAGTCTCTTACTATGTCCTTACCGGTAAGCTTAATGACTTAAGCTTAAGGAAATCGATCGTTAGACGGCTTATTGCGGTCATTGTTACCTTCTACTTCGTAATAGTACAGTGTACTGTCGAGGTCTTTCTCGCTACTAGCGCTTATCTGTCCTGGTGGGTACGTGAAAAGTACGACTTCGACTTAGTTTCCGACAGTGTCCCTGGTAAGACTGCTCTTACCAATGGTTCATAGCTTCATCGAAAGTGACTCGTGAGATTTTTGACTACTTCTCTACGGGAAATGGGATATATCTGAGATTTTGTTGTAGAAGAGCATTGTACGTGAATAGAACGCCGCTTACATTATATTACTAATTTAGGCACATTGATAAGTGGGGACTTTACTTCATAAAGTGATTATCAGGGCACTTGTAGCGCAGTGGTCAGAGGTGCTCTGCAATACTTATGGGATCAATTCCAGTGCGTCAAGCTCACTGAGCCCTCCATCCATCCGGAGTCGGTAAATTGCTGCCAGACTTGTCTTAGCGGGATAGCAGCACTAGCTTGATGCATCGGTAGGCTAGCACGAGTCATTGTAAAGGCCAGATGTGCATTTAGTTACCTCCAACGATGCTTAATGAAATCGAATGCATGGCGCATCCTTTTTAGGGATAGATCAACGCTGAGAGCTTTGCCCTTCCTTTATCCTTTAAAGTGATTACCATTTATTTAATCGGCCTTGTGGAACTTCTGCAATCAATCGGCGGAGGAGGAAAATTGACGAAACTGTGGGACCCTTCACTCAGTATTTAGCTGGCTTGAAAGCCAGAGGCTTTCATTGGCTTTACATTGATTGGCTTCCATTGTTACAAGAAATCCAGTTTTTGAATTAGCAGAAGAATCAGTATAAAGAACGAAGAAGGTGCTCAATATTATCTTTGAAAAGGTGATTGTGGTTAAGGGCTTGGGCCAAGGTTGGAGCCGGAAGACGGAGCAAAGTAATCAGGTCATAGCGACTTTGATTTCCACTTAGGGGCAAGGTTTTCAAACAATGCACTTCACGTATGGAACGCTCAATAAGGAGTTTACTAGTCACTATCGTGCTTGAATCTTTTTGAAGAATGAAGGAAAACCCAGACTGTGGTATCGTACTAGTAAGTTTTAGGTTTATAACCATAACGATGCTGAGATATTTGCGAAACTCCAGACCACTGATGTCCGCGGTGGAGACTGAACACGTTATTACCTTCCCGGGGGCTAACGCGTTCGCCACCACACCATGCGAGTCCTTCGTTTCGCCTTTCTCTCAGCCATCTTATTGACCTATGGGCGCTATCAGCAATCATCCATCAATGGGTTTGGTCTGGGGAGCACAAGTTGGCATTGAACCCAGTGAAGCTGAAGGTATAGGTCAATAAGATGGCGGAGAGAAAGGCGAAGCGAAGCTCGCATGGTGTGGTGGTGAACGTGTTAGTATCCGGAGAGGGTAATAGTGTGTTCGGTCTTCACTGCAGACACCAGCGGTCCGGAGTTTTGCAAATATCTCAGCATCATTGCAGTTATATTCCAAATCATACCGTGCTATGAAAAGAGGATAGGCAGTAAGTAAAAAGTGACGACATTTTACGTTTATGATTCCTTTTCATTTTCTTTTAAATGCTACATAATGTTGAATTTATGACGTTCTATGCCAAAGTAACCACTCATATTTCAGAGATGGAGAAGAACTGGAATACTCTCTAGGTGAGAATGAGTCACGAGGAGGATAAAGATCCTCCGAAAGACTCGAATGATTTCGCCGAAAAATTTGAGGCGATCCTTTTTACACTTTTCGAAGAATACAAAAAGAAGGAGGACTCCTCGAGAAAGTTAACCGATCGTCAGAAGTATGTCGCCCATTGTCTTCAGGAATTTATTGTTTCAGGCGGTCTTAAATTGGACAAGTCGTGAGTGCTCCCTTACCTTTCGCTTTTGTTCAGTACGTTCATTTCGATCAATAAGTATTCCTTCTTCGTCTTTCTTTATTTCGATTCAACTAATTGGTAGCAGATAAGCATATAAGTACTACATTGACTTCTCATAGATTCCGCTACGAAAGCAAATTTCCAGGACATATATATGTTGATCTAGTTCGGCGAGCTTTAGTATAGCTTCCATTTGGGTGGTAGCTTGCTTGATGAGAGGAACTTTTCTTCCTGGGTTCTTTTTGGGACATTCATTGCGAGCGAGGCGTTGGTCTGACTCTGCAGGATGCCCACTATGTCTTCCATCACTCTGTGGTAGGGAAGGTGCCACCAGACTTTTGGAATCAATTCCGTTCGGTCAAATTGAAGAAGTCTTATCGCACTATCACAGGATTCCATGGAGAAGCAACCGGACCAACATTCAACGACACTCTTAAAGAAGGAATTCTTTTGAGTCTTTTTAAAGTCCTTTTAAAGAGTCAGAAGTCCTTTTAAAAATCAGGAAACATGGATTGTAAGAAGTTCAAGGATCTGCACAAGCATGTGGTGTTGGGTTGTGTACAAAAAGAAGTTTGGATGAAATCCGTAGAAAAACAAAAGGTCTTTTGCTGCCCATCACAATTTCGACACTATGGAACAATCAGGTAGTAAATCATTGAGTGTCTAGGTGACACACTGCAGTGTAATCACGATACTTGCTTCTCATAGGTCTCCAACGACGTTAAGCACTTTAGACTACTATGTCGCGAATTTTGGTGTCTCAGAGGTAGAAAATCCTCGATTTTGATTTGTGGCTAATTTACCTTCTTACTTTCCTTCTCATGGGTAATTCTTTCAATGTCCTTCTTCAGAGGTCGACACAGGTGGTTACGGACGTTTTCAACGTACGACCGTATTGATTTTCTAGAGTTTAGTGGCGCAAATATATATGGTTACTGTCTTGTTGGCCAGATGTTTATAACAAAACATTATTTTGTAATGCTACGAACAATTCGCAAAAATACCACCACAATGATGCTGAGATATGAGCAAAATCCGAGACTTCAATTTGGATTGAAACAAGCGATTATTCTTAGCAGAGCACACCTGCTGTCCAGCAAACCAACCGTAGCTCTTGCTCTTTCTTTCTCCTAGCCAGTTTTGTAGATAGTAAGGCGCGTGTATCGCAGTGGTCGGAGGCGACGTACAATACACATAGGATCAATCACCGACCGCAGGCCTACCAAATCTTCCATCCCTCCAGTGTTGTCAAATTGGTACCAGACTTGTCTAGGTGGAGAGCAACAGTGACTCGATACATTGGTAGGCCACCGTGAGTCATTGTAAAGGCGAAATATGCATCCAATCACCTCCAACGATGCTTGAAAAAGTCGGGTGTATGGCGCATCCCTCAGAGATTGGTCATGGTCAAGATCTTTGCCCTTTGCCCCTTTTTTGTCGAGCATTTCCCTGTGGAACTCTCATGATTGATCCTGTATTTATCTAAATGTTAATGACGAAGCCCTTGTGTTATTGGTTACTAGTTTTTTCTGATCTTATTTGAGTTTTGGACAATTCATTCTTCTTTGAAAGTTTGTGTCTTTCGGTCCTTTTTGACCACTTAATATTGCGCTATTCATATTTCTTTACTCATAGCAATCGATTTCTCTTTTGAAGAGCTGCAGATACAACATCTCTCTGCGATGGGTTCATTAGTGATTGGGAATCAACCGGCATCAAATCTGCAGCTGTACAACAACTAATTGCTTTGCTGAACCGACCACATGTTCGAGTAAGTATCTGGCTGAATGTTTAATGGAATCTAGTGTCTAGTTTTATTCCCGTCACTTGTTAAGATATGAAATCCTATGGCTCAATTAGTCTCTAGAGTTTCTATAGGGTAACAGTTTGTACACCTCGTGATGTCATGGTTCACATCTTTTAACACTAGAGACTTGCACAACTTATCGACATATATAGGGAACATGTTTTTACAGTGGGTTGGTTACCTTCAAGCGCATCAATCCCTTATGTAAACTTCGGATAAAAGTTGAAATGTCCAAAAATATTTCCACGGCCGACTTTCGGCATTGATGTAGTAATTCTTTATACTCATATTGAGTAAACACGAGGTGTTACTTTATTCTTCATTGACGGAAAAGCTGACGTCTCGGCGGATTTCGCGTTACTCATAGCCTGGAAAGGTCAAGTTGACCGCAATCTACTCAGCCAAACACCTCCTTAAAGAAACATAGAAAATACTAAACCAAGATTTTAATCACAATGAATAGAGAACACTTTCTTTGAATATTCGCTATTTTCTAGAAGTTCTCCACTGAATATGTCTTCTCTGTCCAGGAATATATTGTAAATTTTAAGCCAGATGTGCCCAGTTGTGAATAATTAATGATCATTACACATTTGAGTTTACGATGACAACACAATAGTCGCTAGTGTTCAGGGGGCACTAATTAGTGCTGAAGATATAGCGGCGAATAGGTATATGCCGAAACTACCAGCGGTACCATTCGAAGTTGATGAAGACGAGGGTATCGCTGTCAAAGTTGTAAGTTACTTGTTGGTTTTCGAGTTCCATTGTTATGTATTCAAATTTTCAGCTCTTTCGATAACCTATTCATAGTCATTTCTTGTATGTAGCATCATATTTTTTTTAATGAAAGGTGCGGATTGTGAAACGGGACGAAACTCTTGGTGCCACCATAAAATGTGAACATGGAAAGGTGTATATAGCTCGATTAATAGCCGGTGGTGTTGCCGTTCGGAGTGCCTGTATCCAGGTTAATGTCCTGTTGATTTTCTTTCTCGTTTCTTTCTAAGGAGTTGATTTCCATTGTATTAACAACTTTTTATAGGAAGGGGATCGTATTTTGGAAGTGAATGGTTTACCTATTGCCGATCTTTCTGTGGATGATGTAGCCCGAATATTAAATCGTGTAGATTGTGGTACAGTCACACTGAAGTTAGTTCCTGCCGAATTACCTTACTCTACGACGACTAATGGCATATCACACGTTTATTTGCGTGCGCAGGTTAGTTTTGTACAGTTGTCTTCCACAATGGTTCGTAGGTCATAGAAAACATCCCGCTCAAAATATTTTTTCGCGAATTATTTTTAAATATGAAATGTTTTGATTTTGATGTGAAACTACACAGAACGGATTTTTTTGGTCTTCAGTTTGGCAGCTATATTTTCCTGTATATACTTTCCACCCCTTCTACTCACTCTCCTAAATAACGGCACGTGTAGCGCAGTGGTCGGAGGCGCCACGCAATGCACATGGGATCGTTCCCCTCGCCCAAATTTCACCAAACCTTCCGTCCCTCCGGTGTACCGGTAAATTGGTACCAGACTAGTCTGAGGCTTGAAACATCGGTAGTCCACCGCGAGTCATTGTAAAGGTCAGGTTTGTATTCAATCTTTCCTAACGATGCATGATGAAGCCGAATGCATGGCGCATTCGTCAGGGATTGATTAACGCCGAGAGCTTTGTCGTTTATCCTTTTTCTTAATATTTTCGCAGTAATTTTGTTTTGGAATACTTTACTACTACGCATCAATGCGAAGCTTACATTATGAACTTTCTGTCGACGTAGTTGAGTTACGAATTCTGTTTTGAGAACTTTTACAGTGTAGTAATCGAGATGTCGAAACAATTTTGACATAATCTTAACCTTTTTATTTACTGCCTATTCTTCTTAACGGCAGGTATTTTGAGAAATATAACTACTATAATGCTGAGATATTTGTAAAACTCCGGACCGCAGGTGTCTGCGGTGGAGAACGAACGCACTATTGTCCTTTCTGGGGAGTAACACATTCATCACCACACCTTGCCTGCCCTTCGTTTCGCCTGTCTCTCTGAAGGACCCGCATGGTGTGGTGGTGAACGCGTTACTCCCCAGAAAGGACAATAGTGTGTTCGTTCTCCACCGCAGACACCTGCGGTCCGGTGTTTTGCAATTAGCTCAGCATTATAGTAATTTCGACATATTTAGTCCTACGGTTTCAAACTCGATGTAAAGCAGCACAAACGGCTTGCAGCATTGACACTTAAAGACGGAAGCCGGTTTTTGCAAACAGTTGATAACTTCCCGATAGCCAGAATACTCGAAGAGTTAAGAACATGATCGGCTTATAGAAAAGACTATCTGTGTAAGAAGTAATCGCTGTTTTTAGAGCTTTTATTACAATGCATTTGGGGCATCGTCGTGTTCTAATGGACGAAATACAGGTTGAACTGCTTTTGTTTCCAAAATGCGAATCTTGTTGGGAAAAATGTTTGGTAGGGTCCAGAAAACATTAGTGTTAACGAGGTCTGCGGCAGAGGAAGTATTAACGACGAATGCGTAGTGCCACTTTGGTTTCAAAAATGTCACTGTGGCGAGTTCGACGATGAAGATGAGGAGAGTCGCGCACATCGCTATGCTATTGTTCTCGACGAACTGGTGGTTTTGGTAGAAGAAATTGCATGCGCAGCTGTTCAAGAATGTGCAGAAGAACTCGATGTAAGTATCTCAATTGTTTCAGAGCATTTAAAAATGATTGTTAAGCCGAAGAAGATCGACAAGTGGGTGGTGCAGTGTAATTGAATGACGATCAAAGAAACCATCGTTTTGAGGCACCTTTGGCGCTGTGCGCCATTAAAACGAATCCTTTCTTGACTGTATGCGATCTCTGACGAGGACGACTACCGGCTATCATCGGCTACGTTGTTAGCACGCCAACACGCTTGTGTCACTCTCTGCAGGTTTCCCAAAACTGAACTTGCACTACAAAATCGTGCTGACCGTTTGCTGATCAGTCGCTAGTTTGAACTGACACAACTCCTTGAATACGAGAAAAGCGACTATAGCGGAGAAGCGAGTCCAGAAGATAGACAACGTGCTCTAGAAACCTTAGCGGTAGCATGTGTCATTGCTCAACAGTAAGGGTCCAATGCTCCTCTAGAATATTGCGCGATAAAAGGCCGCACTACCGACGTTGCAAAAGCTTTTACGAGTTGTGCTACGAAGCTCGGTCTCATGCACCATGCTCACCGGACCACTCACCTACCCACTGCCTCTTTCTCAGGAGTCCTAACAAATTCTTGTATGAGGAATGCTTCAGAAACCAAGCCGAGGCCGGCACTACCTTCAACGATTTCATCATCTCGAGATTTACGGGGATTTACATCTATCACCTGTATCACCTGTAGTTCCGTTGATCATCGAGTGACTCAAACGGGCGCCAATAAATCTTCCATTTTTCCCTGTCGCGTGCAAGAATAGCCCAGTGGGTTCTGCTCGTTCTAGGGACTCGTCGAGCATCATATTTCTCTTCCAAGTTCTTCGTGAAGAACTCTGACCATCGTCGGTGGTTTTCCTGCAGTACGTTTTACATCGCGAGGAATCCAGTCACTAACGGCTCTTTTCCATCGGTTGTCGTTCATACGCATTATGTGTACGGCCCCTCATATCTTCGACTGTTTGGCGTAGAGAACGGCATCTTTGATTTTTGATCGTTGATGCAGGTCGGAGCTTTGGTTCCCATCCCTTATTTGTGTGGAACGGGATACTCCTAGCATGATCCTTTCGACTGCCCGTTCGATAACTCTGAGTGACCTTTCATCCTGCTTACGCAGCGACCAGGTTTCTGATGCTTGCGTTAGGGCAGGAAGTACCGTTGAGCCGAAAACTTGGGCACGGAGTCGGGTTTTTTTTTGTCCTCTTCACTACATCCTCCATGCTCTTGAAGGCTCTCTAGACCGCTCGTTTTCTTCTGCTCAGCTCTGGAGCTAGGTCGTTCATCATATTGATTTCTCGACCTAGATAGACAACTGGAGCAATCGGAGATATTCGTTCCGTTGAGCGTTAATGGGGCGTACGAAACCAACCCGTTCCTTATGAACATCGTTTTTGTGAGATTTAGTCGAAGACCAATCTTTCCACAGGCTTTATCAAGGTCGACAAGCATACGTTCCGCTTGTCTAATGTTTGGTGTTATAAGGACGATATCATCAGCGAAGTGAAGATGATGTAATTGCCGGCCATTGATATTTCCCATATTATCTTATTCCAATGCTCGCATCGCATGACGTTCTGGGGTGTGGCGGCGAAGAATTTTGGCTGGATGGTATCGCCTAGTCTAACTCCTCTTTTGACGTCGATGTTAATATCGTTGTAGGATGGTGATACCTTGGTTGTGAAATTTTTGTACAGCTCACGAAGAATCTTTACGTACTGAGTAGGGACTCCTTGACTTTCAAGGGCTTCCATGGCTGCTATCTCAATTAAATCAAAGGCTTTCTCTAAATCGATGAAAGTGAGATAGAGCGGTCTTTTGTACCCTCGCGATACTCCAGTGAGTCTTGTTGTCGTGTGGATGTGGTCTTTCGTACAAAATCCTTTTAGAAACCCTGCTTGCTCACAAGGCTGTCCTTCGTTCAATGTTCTATCAATCCTGTTTAGGATGACTCGAGTGAGAAGTTTGTAGACGACGGACAGCAATCAGATTGGGCGATAGTTGTCGATATTGTGTAGGTCACCCTTCTTGAAGAGTAACACGGTCTTGCTGGTCTTCCACCGAGTAGGAACCTTGCATTCAGACAGGTAACGTGTGAACAGCCGAGCGAGTATGTCTACGAGGACTGGCGGTAGTTACTTCAGGTGTTCTGGTCTTATCCTGTCAGGACCTGGTGCTGTTCGATTTTTCGCCGACGAAATGGCATGCCGGATTTCGGAAGGGAGAAGCGGTGGTACAACAAATTCATCCTCCTTTATTTCATATGAAGGAAACAGGACGTGGCTATTGAAGAAATCACAGCAGTATTCGTGAATGATTTTCTCCATTGTCTTTCCGGACGGTGTAACTGTTCCGTTAAAGCGTCGGAGCGCAATCATCTTGGTCTTGTAATAGGCGAAGCATCGGTGGGTTTTGCGATTGCTTTTTGTAAGTTGTTCGAATGAATCGATGTTCATGAACAAACTCCAGTGTTTATGAGCCAGTGTGTTTATGAAGACTGGCGGAAGGTTCTTCAGGTGTTCTGTTCTTATCCTGTCCGGACCTGGTGCAGTTCGATTTTTCACCGACGAAATGGCATGTCGGATTTCGGAACGGAGAACCGGTGGTACAACATATCCATCCTACCTTATTTCATATGACGGAAGGTGGGTGTGGCTATCGAAGAGATCCGTGTAGTATTCGTTAATGATTTTCTTCATTGTCTTTCTGGACGCTGTTACTCTTCCGCCTGGGCGTCGAAGTGCAATCATCTTGGTTTTGTAACAGGCGAAGCTTCAGTGGGTTTTGCGAATACTTTTCCCATCCTCTGCAGCTTCGACTATTACTGCTGCTCTTCTCTCCTTACGATCTTCTTTTATCGCCTGTTTGCATTGTTTTGCATGTTCAGACCTTAGTTCGCGGTTGCCTGTAGCTCGTGCGATTCCACGCTGGCGTATAAGCTCGAGTGTTTGGGAGGAGAAACGTCTCTTGGTGACTTAAGAGCTCTCAGCTTTCATAGCGCTAGCGTGAAGATGTTGAATGAGCCGATCGTATTCTTCGTCGATGTTATCGACAACGGCATCTTCCCAACTGTCGAGTAGCAAATTGAATAAGTCCCAGTTTATGGTGGTTTCGGGACCTTGTTTTTTGAATCTAGCTGCTTTTTCTCCTTTCTGCGAGAAATGGAGTCTTGCTCAAAGAAGGCGGTGATCTGATCCCGTGTAGAATTTTGGTACTACAGCGACATGGGTAAGGCAAAGTCTTCGATTTACTATAATGTGGTCTATCTCGTTATGATACTCTCCAATGGGAGACTCCCACGCCCAGCGTTGAGAGTACGGCTTCTGAAATTGCAAGTTACCATGGTTGGTCTTGGTCGTTATGATAAACTCAGAGAGCCGCCCACTTTGTTCGTTCCACTCTAATCCCTGGGTCCTAATGTGACGTTCTTGAGACGTTCTTCTTGGTCCAGTCTTAGTGTTGAAATCTCCAATTATGATCTTGATGAATGTGTGGTCTTCTCTGTAGAACCTCTACAAGTCCATATAGAACGCTTCGACTTCATCTTCGTTATAGTTTTATGTCGGCGCGTAAACGACGAAGATTGTCAAAGCCGGCATTAATCGACATCTTTTTAATCGTAAATGTCCGTTTCGGGTTGTAAACTGTTCGAATGGTTCTATGTTCATGGACAAACTCGTGTTGACGAGAACGCCTATGCCGCCGACTCCTCTACTGTCGCATGTTCCGCATTGACGGCGTTGCATAGGTGGCGTCGTCTCGTCTCGGCCAAGCCGATGATGTCGTACCTTATCCTTTTTGCTTTCACGATAAAATCTTCTATTGAGGACTCGGATGCAGGCGTACTGTAGTGCATTGTAGGGACAGATCGTCACAATAGTTCTTCGTAATCCAGGCAGCTTCCATTGGCCCTGAGATTTTAGCAACCTCTCCGTACTCGTCCTGCCCAACGCTGCGAAATATACCTATACCTATACCCGCAATAAATAGTCATGTTTCTCGCCAGGAAAAACTAAACCAAGTGCTCAATGAGGCATGGATTAGGCACAGCCATGACGTAGGAGGTTTGAAGGTAGTAGTCACATTCCTCGCAGAGAAATCTGAATTTTCAAGGCGTAAAATCCTTGAGACGTCTTGCATGAGTTTCGAAAATCACTGAGTAGAGACCACTTAGATTTCGACTTTATTGCGGATAACTGAACTTTTTGACTTCTGAAAAAGGCGAGCTCCGCCAAAATGTTAGTTTTTGTAGACAGGCAAATAATATGATAAGAACATCGTGTTTGCATGTAGGAGAACAATGGATTATTGATCAATGTCGAGCTTAATAGAAGTCGGTCCTTGAAACATAAGTAGATTCCAGTGGTTTTTATCCCTATTAGTGAAGTTTGTTCTGGACTGAGACAAGCCACTTCAAACACAGAGGTTGAAATCCTGGTTGTTTTTCGAGCACCGTCAGAAAAAGCAACTTTATTTTCACATTTCTAGAAAGTTCTAAATTCATCGTAAAAATGTAAGATTCCAACACATTTTGATTTTTTTTTATTGTTTTTTAGTTCTGTGTAACTTCTGTTGTATTCTCCTTCTAGTTCTACTTTATAGTATGACTACAATGGAAGAGATGATGTTAGACATCCTTGCCCAGAGGTTGCGCTCTCATTCAGTAAAGGAGATATTTTAGAACTGCTCGTATGTAATGACGATCATTGGTGGCAGGTAAAGATCTATCTCCCTACTTTTAGTGTTGCATTGTGTATCTTATTGTCAAACATGTTAAATTAAGGCTCGTTGTATTGGTAATGGTGCTTTCGCAACCTGTGAGAATAGCAAAGGTAGGTGTTTTCTGTTTAAGTTTGTTTCATGTCACGAACTACACTAAGTTTTTGAAATGTTTGGAATGCTGATAGCTTAATATCCTTATGAACATTCTTTCAGCATCATCGCGAATAGGTCTTATCCCATCTGAAGCTCTTCAGTTACTTAAAAATACTGTAGAAAATGACCTGAAGGGTGATGGGCGAGGATCAACTCGGTCAAGAGGTAGTCAAGAGGTGATTCTTCGGAAATTAATGTGTCATATTCTTAGTTAGTGGTCAAATTGCAATGAATCAGCATACTCCATAAAACGTCTACAATAAGTCTACTTTTTCTGTTATTTGTTTTATTTTATGCGACCCGTCTTTATACGACGCCTAAGCGATTGATCAACGCCGAGAGCTTCATCACTTTTTTACCAGCTCTTTTGTGGTGTTTTTTTTAAGGCAGTTCTATAAATGTATAGGGCAGTAAAGTTAAGTGGACCTACTGGATTGTAAAAAGTTTCTTGCTTTAGATGGAGTTGATTTACGAGTCTGTTTGTCGTATGTCATTGCGTGATGGTTTCTCGAGGGTCATTGTTCTTGTTGGGGCGCCTGGTGTTGGAAGGTATGTCAATTCTAGTGGTGTGGTTACCACTGCTTTCTTGTCAAGAGATCAGTTATTTTGCCAATCTATTTATGAGCCATTATATGCAGTGTCTGTTTGATTTTAGAGGAAGAGAGCAAAATGACAAGTTTCACTTTTAATAAAAGCTATCGCTTAAGTTCTCCATAAAATTTTCCTATGTTTCCCCAATATCTCGAGGTTACATGTCACTTTCCTATCCTCCATTGGAAACTTCTATTCCGATTTTGCTACTTTCAATGTATAATTTGGCTATGTCAAAGTAAGGTTGCTTATGTTCGTGAGCTACTATTATTTTATAAAGAGTTTTGTTCGAAGTATTTCGTGAGTCGGACCTGTTCAAATGGTATCAATTCTTTCAAAGAGTTATTCTCTTGTTAGGGAGTCATTTGATTGAAAACTCATCTCATTTGATTGATAGCTGAGAGGAAGACGAAACGAACGAGTCGCATGATGTGGTGGTAAACGCGTTATCCGTCGGAAAGGGTAATAGCGTGTTCGATCGCCACGGTATACATCTGCGGTTCAGAGTTTTGCAAATATCTTAGCATCATTGTGGCTGTATTTCACATCACATCCTGCCATGAAAAATTGTCGTAGGCAGCAAATAAAAGGGTTGGAATTGTCTTTTATATTTAAACAAATAAGGTTTCATGTTCTATTAAGGAATGAATTGAAACGTCGACTGTTGACGCGTTTTCCTCATCGTTTTAGCACTACAGTTCCACATACAACTAGATCGAAAAGGTAAGACCCATGAGCTTATCAAATTCTTGTTTGTATTCCTAGACACTTAGAGAATACCTTCCTTTTTATATAACTTATTTGATTTTTTAAAAGAGCTTCTTAGTTGAGGACAAAAAACGACTCCGTTATCAGAAAGATCCAATATTCTTTCTTTACATTTTTACCCGTTCATTTCGCTTCTTTTTACTGAGCGTTTTGAACACCTATCTTGTTATTTAATGGGTTTAATGTGCAATGAATGAGTCTTCCGCAAATGTGGAACTTAGAATCATTGGCTATGCTAGAAGGTACTTCCATAGGTGGCAGACGAGGGGTTAAACGTGTATCAAAAGCGGCTTTTTGCTGAAGTCGATTTGCAGGTGGATTCCTAACATGCGTCTACTAATTCTAAGAGACGGTTTACCGCCTTATTGTGGCCGGGAGGTGTTCATGGGTGTCGAGTTGCGACGTACAACAGATGTTTATCCCCCGGCAGAGCCTCCCGAGCTGAGAAGGAGTTCGGCATTCCCATTAGGAAGCCCAGCTAAGAGTAAACCAATATCAGGTTCCACCATCGTCTTTGTGTCAACCTAGTCGCAAGGTGGCAAATCTCCCTCTGATCCACAAGGGCTGCGACTGCCTGTGGTTGAGACGACCTGGGGCAGATTTTAGTTTAGCTGACCTTGGGACGCCAAGGAACCGCAATGGCTAAACCAGCAGAACTCCTAAAAAATTGAAATTTTGCTGGGCCCACACAATCAGTGAGTACGGGCCATCCGCATAAATTCTACGATGTGACATGAGGAACTGGATCGCATGGAGCAAATATGTACATGTGTACTGCGAAGAGTCACGAATTTAATCACCTCCACAGTGCATTTTGGGTATTATTGTTGGGTCCATTCTTGCGGTAAAATTGGTGAACGTTATGTGAAATTTATGACGATCCCCGTTTACCTCAAGGCAAGAGAGGCCAGTTGGTCGTGAGTGCATATATCTGAGACACATGGAGTATGAATTAACAGCGGTGTTCATAGTACAAATGGTAGTCATTTTACTACCGAATTACTAAAATTTGTACAGGCTTTGGGTTTAGAACCGTTTCCTATCATTTAGAGCAAATGAAATCGAGGGTGTGGACTACTACTTCGTCGAGAGATCTGTAATGGAGAAAATGATATATTCTGGACAGATGTTGGAGTTTGGAGAATACAGAGGTGTGTTGTTGTAAACATTTTCTCGAAAAGAATACTAGGGTTATATTGTTCACATGCATACACAAGTCTTTTTATAGGAAATTTATACGGCACGGCTTTATGCTCAGTTCGTGGGGCACAGAAGTTCGGTACGCCCCTCATAACTCCTCACCCACTGGCTCTGCAACTTCTACGCACTCCTGAATTTATGCCTTTCATAATTTTTATAAAACCACCAGATGCAGCAGCTTTTAAGGTTGGTATAACAACATGTACTTATCAAAACGCTAATGATATAGGATGGTAGTATTCTAAAGTTTTTCTAACAACTAGTGTTGTGTCGTACTTTACCGCGGAAAATTACCACATTGGCAACCAAACTGGTTTCTCGAAAACAGATGGTATTTTCTGGATCGTTCGAGAACTTCAAGAGTGCACAAAATTATGGATTTATGGAAGTTTGCTGTGTAGTACTAGTTGCGTTTGTGGTCTTCATGGATTGTCCTTACAAATTTTAACATTTTTAGAAATTCCCAAGACCGACTTTCTATTAAACTCGACATTAACCGATAATTCGGTGTTTTCTTCAATAAGCAGACACGAGGTTGGTATTATAGAATTTATTAGGATACAATAGCTGACGTTCGGTTTCGCCTTCTTTAGAACCTGGAAAGGTTAAGCTGACAAGCGATGTACTCAGCTAAGCACTTTCATAACTCTAGCGGATGAAACGTAATAAAGAAATTTACATTCGAATAAGAAACAGCTTCATTTAAACACCCACCGTTTAATAAAACTGGCGTCCATTTCTAAACGTTCAAATTAACCTATCCGAAAACGGCTACTTTACAAAATGGTATCGAAAGCGAAGTAGTAAGAATATAGTGGTTCATTACCTCTCTTCTGATACCTCACACTCCAAAAAGGCGCCTATAAGAAATATGTTTCAAGCCGCCACCAACGTGTGCACAGGTAGAGAGCAGAAGGAAGAATCTTCGATGCTGGAGTGCCAAATAGCCATTTGAAATGGCTAAGAAAATATGGTTTCTCGGCATAGGCAAAGAAGGAAAACCACACCACAGAATGACAATTCTAGTGAAATAAGGCTCCATTCCTCTTGCCCTTTATTTCAGACGAACTAAATGCGGCCATAAAACGTCGCTTAATAAGGGTCGGTCTAGAGAATTCCGTAAGTGTGATGGAAATACCATCCGACACTCTAAGACGCCAGCTATTTCGCAACCGCCTATGTGACCGTCTATGTACAACGAAAATCTGTATAATTTGCTCTAACGGTAGATATGGTGATTGCATGAGTTCGGGTAGAGTCTGTTTGATCTGTTGTAAAGCTTGAGGGGACGAATACGTTGGCGAAACGGGTAGACCGCTTTGCGTCCGCATAAAAAAATACCTAGTCGGCAAACCTAAAAATCCAAACACGCCATTAGGCGCGCATAGGATGCAGAAACGTAACTGAGCAGGTTTTGAAGTAGGATTCACTATCTTCACTCAGGAATCGATAATATCAGCGCGTAGAACTCTTGAAGCGCTTTGGATCAATTCCAAAAATTCGAAAATAAGCCGCAAGGAGAAGTGTCTTGCCCTAACGTGTGACGTAGCGCCATACCTCAGGCTGATCCAATGACCTGACAGGCACAGTCCTCGCCCATTTATTACTCTGTGCGGCTTCTATCAACCATCCAGTTGGAATACTTACAACGAATAAACGGTCGGTGTTTAAATGGAACTGTTTCTTATTCGAATGTAAATTTATTTGTTAAGTTTTATCTGCTAGGGTTACGGAAGTGCTTGGCTGAGTACATTGCATGTCAATTTGATCTTTCCAGGTTCTGAAGAAAGCGAAACCGCCGAAACGTAAGCTCTTGTGTCCGAATAAGTTCTATGATACCAACCTTGTGTCTGCTTATTGAGGAAAACACAGAGTTTTTAGAAATGGTACTTCCTATCAGTTCGTGATGGTATTTAAGTTCCAAATTTCTGATGGAAGGGCGAGAGCTGGAAATACAAAGGATTGATTGGGCAATGCCATCTTCTCCTATCGGACAAAATCTCGCTTTTTCGTTTGCTTTCATGCTCGAAATACACGGGTCGTGTAGCAATAGAGTGGTAGGAATTTATGTGTTGAGTTCCAGCAAATGGGAATATTACGTGGTAAGTCAAAGGAATGGCGAAAATTTGTGGATTCTACAGTTTTAGTGCAATGAATAAAATTATGAGCCGGTGTATTTTTGTTAAAAGTTGAAAGCAAACATCGTTTTTGCATCACTCCTGTGGAGGTCACATCGTCCCATGTGTGTTAACTGACTTAATTAGCTGACTAATTGCAAATTAGAAAAATTTTTCCCTTCATATTCGTTGATAGGATGTTCCACATTTTATGTTGTTTTTACCGGTGAACTGATAAGATAGAAGCATAGTGATAGTATATAATATACCATGATATAACTATTTATGCCAAGGTTTGTAGGAAGTCGGTCCTTTGAGTTATAAAAAGTGAGGACATTGTGATTTATACTATAGCTTTAGCTTAACTTGATTCAGTGGCGATTTGTGCTCCCCAGATCTATCGCGCCTGACGCATGATTGCTGATAGCACCTATAAGTCGATAACATGGCTGAGAGAAAGGTGAAACGAAGGACTCACATGGTGTGGTGGTGAACGCGTTAGCCCCCAGGAAAGGTAATAGCGTTTTCGGCCCCCACTGCAGATACCAGCGATCCGGAATCTGCTAATATCTCAGCATCATTATAGTTACATTTCACATAATACCTTGCCATTAAAAAAGAATAAGCAGTAAATAAAAAGTGATGGCATTGATAGGATAGAGTTAGAAGTATAACTTCTGTAATGCTGAGATATTTGCAAAACTTTGGACCGCAGGTGTCTGCGGTGGGAACGAACGCGCTATTATCCTTTCCGGTGAGTAACGCGTTCACCACTACACCGTGCGGGTCCTTCGTTTCGCCTGTCTCTCAGCTAGTTCTATCGATCACTGCCATCAGCAGTCATCCGTCAACGGAATTACATTACAGAAGTTATATTTCGCAACATACCCTGCCATTAAAAGAATAGGCAATAAGTAAAAAAAAGGTTAAGATTGTGATTATAACTATAGCCTCAGCTTAACTGGGTTCAGTGCCGATTCGGGCTCCCAAGACCGATGCCGTTGACAGCTGATTGCTGATGGCAGTGATCGATAGAACTAGCTAAGAGACTGGCGAAACGAAAGACCCGCATGGTGTAGTGGTGAACGCTTTACTTCCCGGAAAGGATAATAGCGCGTTCGTTCCCCACCACAGACACCTGCGGTCCGGAGTTTTCTAAATATCTCTGCATTACAGAAGTTTTATTTTGCAGCATACCCTGCCGTTAAAAAGAATAGGCAGTGAATAGAAGAAAAGGTTAAGAGTTTTGTAGTTGGTTGGAGTGGTTTCGGAATTTATTCAAGCTGACGTTATGTGGGAACTTTTTCTCAGGATACCCGAATCGCCGGCCCAAATACTCCTCGTACTTCCACCACAAGCTCGAAAAGGAAATTTAACATCTCACGGACGTTTTCGGATGCTGAAATTGAGCAGATCATTAATAACAGTGTACTACTGCATAAGCAGTACGTTTCACACTTTTGTTTTCTTTAAGCACCCAAGATTTTTTCTCTTAGGTTTACATTCTACCATATTTTGAGTCTATTGATTGTTTTTTTTACACTACGTTTATCATAAAAACCAAACTAGCCGTAGTAATTATCGGATTGCTCAGCACTTATAAAATAGGGAAGTGTACGGATTTTGTATAGTGAGTTACTGACTAGGAAATCACATATTTGGTATACGGACATCTAGTATGATCCTATGGTTGATGATTTGGTTACAGTTCCCAGGATCGAATTTCTGTTAACCTCGGCATTGGAATATGAATGTGTCGTTTTTTTGTTCAACTATCGCGAGGTTTTTAAACAGCATACACTTATTTCCATAGAGAAACACAATACAATACAACAGTAGCTGACGCTTCGGCAGTATCGCCTTCTTCAGAGCCTGGAAGTGTATACTGATATACAATCTACTAGGCCAAACGCTTCAATAACACAAAAAGACGCTCTATGGTAATTACATGATCAACAGCTTCTCAAAAACTCACCGCTTTTTTAAAAAAATATTCCTGAAATTAAAAAAAAGCGGTTAGTTTTTCGAGCAGTTGATCATATAATTACCATAGAGTTTTTCGTGTTTTTGTAAGTGTTATTGAAGAGTTTAACCTAGTAAATTGCATATCAGTATACCCTTCCAGACTCTGAAAAAGGGGATACTACTGAAGCGTCAGCTATTGTTGTATTGTATTGTGTTCCTATATGGAAGTAAATACATGCTGTATAACAACCTGGAGATTTGCTTACAGTCGTCTCATCCAGAGATTGAAGGCAGAACTTAGTAGCATTGATTATGAAATCTATGCTCTCGGTGAATTTCGTACTTCATATTCATATCTGCTCGCAGAATTCTGGGTATTTTGGCACCAAATAAAAGCAAGACTATTCGTGAGAGGTAAACAGAATGTAAAATAAAACTTTCGGCATTGATCAATTCTGTGGGATGCGCCATACATTCGTCTTCATTAAGCTTCGTTAGAGATGATTGAATGCATACCTGGCCTTTACAATGACTCGCGGCGGCCTACTGATGTATCGAACCAGTGCTGCTATCCTCTCAGACATGTCTGATACCAATTTGCCGATCCCTGTCTGACCACTACGCTAACCGCACCTTTTCGTGAGAGACACCTTTCGTACGACAAAAATTTAGAACTTGAACCTTATAATGAACCACGATTAGTTTAGAACGGAAATGTTTTAAATTTCAGGTATGGTCATTTATTTGATGCGGTGATTGTTAACGAAGATTTTGAAGAAAGCTTTACACAACTGATCCGTCTTATAAACGATTTAGAGACGAAACCAACATGGGTGCCTCTTTGTTGGGCCACTAACATTCGCTTCGACTGATTTCTTCACTTTTTCTTTTCGATGTCCTGTTTTGCAAATGTTACTAGTAGAGCTCCAGATACGATTCCGTTCTTTTTTATCTGATTAAGTTCGCTTTAATTCTTTATTCACCTTATTCTAACTTTCAATTGATTTATTTGGTGCTGAGATTGATGTTATGTCTCAACTGTTGGGGTCGTGAACATGTTTTCTGACTGCCTTTATATCTGTAGTGCTAGGTGCTTTACCTGTTTCCTTCCCGTGGTTCATTCATGTATGTATACTTGCCACTTACTCGGGTATCAAGACATTCATTTTCAGGTCTCTCGTTCACCGAAGGTCTACTAAAGATCTTTAGCTTGGATTTGTGTTTCTCTAATAAATCTGATATGCGACATTTACGATTAGAGCATCAAAAGTCGTCTTTTTAATAACTCTATAACAGTGATATTCGTTTACAATGTTAACTTCATTAATTCTTCTTCGTCGTCGTCAAGTTTGCGACAAGTAAGCTTTATAGGTTTACCCATTCCGCCTCGTATGGACGTTATAGTGGTGATCTGTACCAGAGAATCGTATGGACACTCAAGTGTATACTGAGTTTAATGGATCTCAGGTAGGGAGGAGAACAGGATAACTGTTCCCTACACTCGGTGATGTACAAAAAGCCGTTTTCAAGGGAACTTCATTAACTGGTTATTTGACTAGTGATTAACCGCATTTTCATTTTAATCCAATGTATAAAAAACACCGAAATAGATTCGACATGAGTTGGAAATGCTTCTATACACAGAGAGCAATGTGTTTGAATAGTAAAAGATAGTTACAAATAGTATATAGTAGCAAATACATCATTCACACGCATGGAATGATACTAAAAAAAATCCGTTGTATAATCCTTTCCTGGTCCGAGCCCCTCAAGTCTGTTTATCGAGGAAAGCTCTTCTCAAGAAACCTAGGCGCGAAGTACGGTAGAAGGGATGGAATAAGTTAACTCAATCAACATTGGACAACATTGGACAGGAAAGCTATGAGGATGCGGGATATTGTTAGATTGCTAGGAGGGGAGGGGATATTGTTAAGGGAAGTTTAGCAAAGTATTGTAGGAAGACGACTCTTAGTCATGAAGCATCACTGGCACAGCAGGAAGTTCCACGACTTGGACAATGTTAAGGATATCACGGTGTTTAACTTCTATTTACCCTAATAATTTTTTCATGTCAGAGTATTGATATGGAGTACAACCACAATGATGCTGAGATATGAATAGAACTCAAAAGATCAAGGGTGATCTTCGAGACCGGAATTACACTTTGGGGGGGGGGGGGGGGGGAGGAATGAGGAGGGCGCGAGTGTTAACCAGTGCACTACCGAGGTCCCATACTTTTCTAACCTCGAGTCTTAATTCATGCTTTTCTCTAAGGTGTCTCATATGATCACCAACATTTTCCAAATGAGGTTTCGTCTTTACTCTTAATGCTGTTGAAGACTTTACTAGGATGTCTAGCACTAACTGTGCAATGTAAGATAAAGCTCATAAAGAATAAAGCTCTTGGCGTTGATTAATCCCTGAGAGATGCGCCGTGCATTCGACTTCTTTAAGTATCGTTGGAAGTGATTGAATGCATATCTGGCCTTTACATGACTCGCGGTGGCCTACAAATGTATTCAGCCAGTGCTGCTGTCTTTCTCGACAAGTCTAATTTTTACTAACCCGGAGGGATGAAACCAATTTGCCAACTCCGGAGGGATGAAAGACTTGATGAGCCGCTGGAGCGGCGATCGATCCCATGTGCGTGTTGCAGGGCGCCTCTGACCATTGCGCCACGCACGCCGTCAATGTGGAATGTGTGCCACCCAATGTGCGATGGATGTAGAAATTCACATTGGACAACAAAGAGTACGTTTATTAATTATGTGAATTGATTCATACTTCTGTATTACTGAGGAACCTTCCACATTTCTATTATCAGCTGGTCTACGAACAACCATGCGTGGTAACCTCTCATTAAAAACGAATGTCCGATCAGTGAATGGTGTCGTATCACTTCAACACACTATAAACTGACATCGAAACTGCAATTAAACGACTACGATTTAGTATATTATTGTCAAATGAATCAATTCTTAGATTGCTCCTGCTCTTCGGGAGTTAGCAGCCAATGAGTTTCCACAGCTCCTTTACCCTGAATAAGAGATCTAGCTGAAGGCTATGTGACTGGGATAATTATTAACACAACACCACTACCGACAGTGAAGGGGTCAACAATCAACGAAGAAGTATTGATAGTGGTCACCTAAGATCTTGGGATATAAGCAGTATATGATCCTTAGTTATTTAAAAATTGCTCTAACTAGATCGGTAATATTAACTATAATTAGTGTTATCATCCCGTATAAAACTTACTTTAACTATTACTTCTCCCCGTGGCTCCGTTTTATAGCCACCAACCACTTGCGTCAGAAATCTCATCGTATCAGTAGAAATATGAATCCGACCTGCTGAAACAGTACTGCTAGAAGAAATTAAGCTAAAAATGAGGAAGAAATCCATAGTCGAAGAAATTAAAGCAAAAGCACTGGACGTTGCTTACGTTTCCCATTGCTCTCCATTCGACTAGCGGTGTTGACCGTATCGCCAAACAAGCAGTATCGAGGCATGGTAATCCCCACCACACCTGTCACTACTGATCCTAGAACGATTGTACACTTATATAAAGAGATCATGTTCGCTGAAATAGTATGGTTGGTCTGAGTTAAGTTAATTCAACATCAAAAAGAATTTTATAGGAATATGGCGTTACCGAGTCGGAAATTGATGTCCAACACCATTCTCATTTCGTAGTTCTTTAGCTGCTTCACTTTTCCTTCCGCATATCTCGAGTTAATCGAGTTAGTTTGCTTGAACAGAAAAATTCGAGCAGTCGAGGACGTGTACATCCATGGTCCTTTTATAATCTTCCGAAATTTGTTGGTCATCTATGGAAGTAATTTGACATCCATTTACGAACTAGCGCACCACACATACATATCTGGATCTTTCAGAAAGCTCTGTTCCACTGAGAATTGATGGGTCAACGGTTCCATTTCCAATGGACACCATGTTACTATAAAATTAAACGGTATATAGACTTTTTTACATAACGCATTGATCGCGTAGAAATTCGTTGGTTTGGTTAACACTTGATGCCATGAAAGTTTCCAGCGAGAACTTGTCGCTTTCTCGAACTTCTCAGTTCGCCCTGACGACGACAGTGTTGCAAAAATGCGCAGCTCCATTATGCTTACTAAAAGTTTATAAAGGATCTTCATGTATTCACTGAAAACCAATTGATTGTCTAGTGTGTTCTCGACCTCTTGTATGCTCAGAAACCAAAACACTTATCGACATGCGATTTTATCACAATTTACTGGGTTTTTCAGCTGTGCAAACATATTCCATCTATACTGAACTTCTATGTAGATCTGATTTTCTTGTACGTCCAGGTATTCCCGTTGAGGATGACTTTAGCAAAGACGTTTTGGACCATGAAAGGTAGATTTAGGAGTCGACATCTGACAGCGGACATAATTCTCAACTGAAAATTGTTTCACAAATTTGAAGAGATGCGTTCTCTACCGAAGAAGAAAGGTCCCTAATGGCGGGTGTAAGGTAATAAAATATGCCACATGTTATTATTAAAGCCTTAAGGAAATCTGCCTTCGTGGATTCCCTGCACCACACCTATATTTCACATGAAAATCCACTTTCGAAGAAGAAAAACGTGGGTTCATTCAACAGCGACTATATGAACTAAATATTTATGTAACAGTTCGCCATCACGGATCTCAATCGCATTTTACAAAAAACGAGGGACGCCTTCGTAGCACTTCCATGGTTCCACCACTTCGTAGTAGTTTGAATAATCGCATCTTTCGTTTAGTGATTCAATCATATTTTAAGTGAATAATTTAATGCTCACAGAGCGCTTGAGCGATGTTTTCTGAAATGTAACAGGCACTCTCAATTTCTAGCCGGAATGCGAAGTTCTGACCTTCGAAGTCTGTCACAGCTCCGAGATCCAGGAGGATATACTACATCGACAGCGAAACAGATGGGCCGATCACATAGTGAGAACAGACAACAGATGGGCGAAGGGAACAGTAGAGTGGACTCTAAGAGAATGCAAACGACCCCTTGGATGACCACCTACACCTTGGGCGGACGTGTTCGTAAACAAAGTTAATCTGCTGTACCCACAGCTGCAGTTGTTTCACAGATCACAGTATGAGACTCGCACGTGCTACCATGCTCGAACAAAACCACCATCAAGGACGACGATTGCGAGGGAAAGAAGCGAATAGCAAATTTGCTTTAGGGTCCGCACAACTCGTGAGGATGGACCATCCAAGTATCCAAGTAAGCAATTTAATGCCTATCGCTATAAAGCTTCTAACCAATAAAAAACACCTGACCAGTCTAGTTTTCATAGATACTAAGTGAAAATCTGTTATGGGGCAATAGTAGTGACGCGATGGGTAACCTGTGTGAATTCCAATGCGTACGTTGACTCTTTCATTAGGTAAATGTGGTATGCGAAATTCCTTGATGGCTCGAAGCAGTTCGAATGACATTTCGGCTATTTCCTTTCCATGTTCGTTGCCATTACGTTGGGGCAAACCCGATGCGCACAGATAGCCGTCTCCTATCGTTTCTACCTGTAAAAAGCGAATTTCCGTCATGATTTTTGTAGCCCTAAGTCAAAAGTAATGTTTGAAATGCACTCTAGGATTATGTAAACAATAGATTAATGAAGAATGGTGGGCGCAATTCAGCAGCAAACTATGCTAAAATGCTTTCAAAGTCTATCCCTGAGGAGCCGCTAAAAGAGCAAACAGGGCTTCCAAAGGTAAGGTCACTTTCTGTTATTTGTGGAACTCAAAAAATGTTCAACCATAATTTTTTCGTTTCAAACATAATCACACCTACAATGTTAAATTTTAGAGAATAGCCGAGCTCGCTCAAAAACAAAGTTCCAAGCACAACAGAGTTCTCTTCGAGCAAGGTAATAATGGTTAAACGATTTCTGTTTCCCGAACGATTTCGGGATTTAACCGGAAGTTTCCACTTCATCTGGATTTGTCGTATTCTCCGAATTTTGTCGATTCTGACTTTTTTTGCGTCTTTAAGTTACACACATTACAAAGCTCAAACGATCAAACAAACCAACAGAAGCAAGTAGTCAACTACCTACCTATCTATACGTTAGGTACAAAAGTTGTGTTTTACCGACACCATAAGTAATTATAGGAACTTGCGCAAAATGTTCCAACCTTGTAAACATCATGTTGCTCGATGATTGCGTCGAACAAAGTGTAGAGGTCGTTCAAGAAGCCGATCACCTGGCAATGATAGAAAATTTTCTGTTATCTCGTTTGCTTCACGTAATGCTTGGAATATCACTTGCCTGCAAAGGTGTGCATCTACTGGCGAGAGTTGTGAATGACACCACATCTGAAAAGAACAGCGTCGCGCAATCAAACACCTCCGGCTCAACTGACTGACCCAACTTCAGCTTGTCGGCTACTTGTCTGAAAATTCATACGTAGTTGATTGTTTGATTTTAAATGTAAAGCATTCCACAGCGAAGTCAGTGGAGGCCACAAAGAATAAAGCAAACTGGCGCACGCTTCAGACTCGTGAATTCAGATTCTTTAGCTTCGAATCCTTAACTTCTACTCATATCGTCTTCCAGACCAAAAATTTTGGAAAAACCTTTTTGGAGAATTCCCAAGAGTTGAAATTCGAATGACAATGAGTTGCTCTCACTTTGTTAGCTGTAAACGGAATGAGTTAGACTTACTTTGATTTTTGATATAGCAGGACTGCTTAGCTTTACCGAGTAAAATACACAGAATATGAAAGAGTTTAAACAAACTTTGGTAGCATTCGGTAGAGCAGGATATCGCTCTTCTTCTTTTCCTCAGCGAGTTCCCTCATTCGAGCTTGAATCTGTGAAGAATGAATTGTTACAGCCACAACCTCAGAAGCTAATTCTATTTCTCCTCTATATAACACCGTGAGAGTTTTCTGTCCATACAAATAATAAAAAGATCTGTTCCCAGGTTCGACTTTCTATTAACTTCGGCATTGGATTATCAATTCTTCGTTTTTTTCTCAGCAATCGCGAGGTTGTTAAATAGCATATGTTTAGTTCTATACAACAACACACATAAAACAGCCGTAGCTGACGTTTTGGCAGAACCGCCTTCTTCAGAGCCGCTTTCTTCCACCTCTCTTCCACTGAGGAAGAACAGCCGCTCAAAGGCGCAGTCGGCAGTGGTCAACTATATGCGACTCTGAGCGGCTGTTCTTCCTCGGTGAAGGAGAGGTGAAAAAAGCGGCTCTGAAAAAGGCGATTCTGCTAAAACGTCAGCTTCGGTTGTTTTATGTGTGTTATTGTATGGAAATAAACGTATGCTGTTTAACAACCTCGCGATTGCTGAGAAAGAAAACGACGAAGAAGATCTGTTTCAACAGATTCTTTTTGAGATGCTGCATAAGAGAAAGAAAAAAGATTACAATACTTCACTTCGTCTTCCAAGTTTGATGCGTATTGCTCAAGTATGTTGAAGACATGATCCATAAGATTTGAACACCTAAATGAACCCAAGGTTAAGGCCCTACCACTTTTAACTCAATTGGGATTAGACATAAATTATTGTTTTATCTCAACATTGTCGTTTTTACGGTCTTGATTTTAACCAGGATTTCTCCGTAGTTTCTTTCCTGGCAAGCATCACGATAGGCATTATGCTACTGAAGCAAGGCACTCTTTCTCAGTAAAGGTCACTTTGAAGAAGATCGATATTTCCATAAGGAAACGCAGCGATGACTAATTATACAAACACCAAAGTGAGGAAGTACTTTAATCGCTGGGAATGTTAACAGTGAAGCGCCTTGTTCAAAAGTGTATTGCACTTCCTTCGAGCATGCGGAGCTCCGTGGACTGCTGTAGTACGTGGTACAAACGAGTGGAACTTTACTTCTTTATGTCGAATTAGTGGTTACTAGTGGCACATGTGACATTTGTAGCTAATATTTGATTAAAATAGCTATGCCGAAGTACTAGATATACGTGATAAAATATGAATAACAAAAAGACTTTCTTTTTGTCGTTCAAACCCTTAATGAACGATTTCACTTGATCACAAGACGGCCGCTGATCGGGCTCTTCACTCCAGCAGTCCTTCACCAGTACTAACATACTCGGGTTTTGGTAGTCGTCAATATTCAGCACTGGTCTGATTGGCGATCGGCCACCACGCTTTAGCTTATACACCAATTCTGAAATCTTTAGAGCGGGTTAAAAGCTCACAAATTGTAGGACTTCTTATACATTACTAATAAGTTAGAGTAGAAACCCAGTATGGCTGAGCAGAAATTTATTATTTGTGAATTAGTTACAAGTTTGGTACAGTTTGTGGTCACTTGAATACTTACGAATCCTATTTTTACTTAATTTTTGTGCTTGTTGAAACTTTCAAGTTGCACGAGGAAATCAAGATTTATTCTCGCCCCTTTCTTAACGCGTTTGTAAGTTTCATCAGTGCAAATGATAGGATTCGAATGTGCGTTCAACTGTGCTTTTACAATTTTTCGTTTTTCTTCCAATTCACATACGAAATATCGGCCAAGCCTAGCTTTCTCTTCGTGTCGACAAAGGTGTGCTAGGGCGTATCCAGGTCCATAAAATGCTGCGGCTTCCACTTCTTTTACTTACTTGAATACGTTGATGCCCCATCCTCACTGGTTGTGCGGCCCCAGCACAATCTTCATTTTTCGGAGTTTTGCTGGTTTAGCCACAGTGGTTCCCTGGAATCCAAAGGTCAACCAGACCAAAGTCTGCTACAGGGGTACTGGTTTACTCTTAGCTGAGCTTCCTGATTGAAACGCAGGTCGCCTTCTCTGCTTGAGAGACCCAGCCAGGTAAATGAATCCCACCGTTGTACATCGCAGCCCGACACTCAGGGATACCTCCCAGCCACGACGAGACGGTAAACCGTCGACAAGACTCCACTTCTTTTAGCTTACAAAAAATTTTCATGGCTTTCTGGTGCTCAACACTGCAGGACATAGGTAAAAAGAATAACGATACTTTAGTAAAAACAGCGTAATATATGTGCAAAGAAAACGTTAATGATAAATTCTGAGTGTGGAAAATTACCGTCGATATCGTAGTCCTGATTTTGCAGATCCCATGCTGATTTTTTAGTTATCACTTCTGAGCAGATAATAGCGAAGCTAAATGTAGAGTCGCACTTTGTTAGAAAGAAATCTGACCCTTTATAAACATTAGTAATGATTTTATTACTTCATGAATAAAAGTTTTGAAAGAAAAAAGCATAGCCTATATCTACTTTGATGGTATATACTTTCAGTGTTGTGTGAGGACACCATTTTATAGATAAAAGCTCTCTATTATAATGAAATCCCATCCTATGTGATTCTAATCAGTGCTTGTCAGATTGTTGCAGAATCTGTTGATCGCCACCTTCACGACATATTAGCACCAAGACCGAGATGATAAAAATCTTAGTGGTTGTTTACTATTTGTCAAATGACCGATTTTTAAGGAAAAGTTGAATTCGTGTTCATCTGCATGGCTACTGGAATCGATAATAGCTGTTACGCCGACAGCTATGGTTTTTAACTTTTATCACGTGAAATGTACAGATAATGAATGATATTATGGAGGTGTGTCATTGGCCGAGTATTTAGTGCAGTGAAAGAACCAATTCATTATCATGTGCTGTAGGAAGTGATGAAAAATGGCTTCCCAAGCTCAAAGAACACGTAAAGATCGAAGGTGAGTTACCTAGATCGCTGTGATCCACGACGAGAACGTTTCTGAAAAATTGGATCCTAAGCGAATAAAACTTTTTTATTCTACACAGCCCGTTTTCACTTTCACTGTGCGGATTTCAGCACTTCCTGCATTCGATCTGTATTCTCCTCCTAAACTTTTTGACGAGTGGTTTCGGCCGTTGCTTAGGCAATTAATCGTTTTTTTTCGCTGAATTTTGGTCAAGTCGATTCCCGCTGGAGTCCTGAGATGTTTGGGCTGGAATGTCACCATTTGAATTACAGAGAGTGGACCATCCTCAAAAAAGTCTGGTAGCAATTTACCGACCCCGGGCGAATCACCGATATGGTCAGCTCGGAGCGAATCGAACCAGCACTATGCTCGTGATAGAATTTCAGACGGAAAGCTATCTGTTTGCACAAATAATGAGAACGAGCTCTACTCTCCTTTATCAACGGAACTAATGAGTAGCACGTACGCTTTTCACTACAGATTACATTATTGTTTAAATTTCCACATGTTCTTGTTGGAATCTTAGTGTTGTACTAACATTGTATCACATACAGGTTTAGGTAAGCCAAGTCTGCGATCTTGCGTTGTGACACAAACAAAAGAACCCGCATGGCATACCGTGCCTAACAATAGTCGAGGTACCCTACTTTTCGTAAGCCCAGATTTTACAAACCTACTTGCAACGAAAGTATAAACTATTTTTCTAAGCAGCATTCGTAATATTAATGTGGAAAAGGCCGTTGACTCAATAGGAAACATTTTGCAGAAACATGATGCAGGTAGAGAAACCAATGGGAGAAAATCTAAGCGACGATAGCTTTTGGAAGATGAGTCAGAGAGTCATGGACACAGAGTAGAAACATAAGTCCTGTTAGCGGATTCGTCAGCAGAGTAATTGAAGTTCGCTTTCCTTCTTACTGTTATACAACTATTTCATAGATGGAGGTACACCTCTACATTGAACTTCATCAAAAAGGCTACTCAATCCGAAGAAGAGTTTAACTTCTCCGGTCGGAAGTCCAGCGAAGAGAGAATCTGTGAAGTGACAGATTCTCACCTTTGACTAACATCTCGGTGAAACAAGAACTCGGTACCAGATAAATAGAGTAATGAGTAATGAATGGGCATGTCAAGCTTGCTGAGCAGCTCTGATATGCAATGGAGTCTAATGGATATTATAGCGTAACTGACTCGAATTACTCGATGATTAATGGGACAGGAAGTACGACAAGTGTCAGCTTTAACTTTAAACACGAAAACAGTACCAACCTGTAAATATCACCCATTTCAGTTGGTGCTAAAAATGGATCACGTATATGTTCTGGAGCAAGCCATAGACTGTCTAAAACAAAGGTAGGTACTGCTGTAACAAGAACACTGGATAAGTAACTGGGAAAGTGAAATAAATGTAAAGTAAAGGAAATAAGAAAGGCTCAAGATCCACCTGATTGCTCCCTAATTTCTTTCTTCTTAATAGCCTCTAGGCCAAAGAAAGTGACTTTAACCTGTAAAAGCTAGGAATTTTCTATAAAGCTCATGAAATTAGTTGCCTTAAGAGGTGTTGTTGGATAGGAATATGTGTAAAATGTCGATTTTTTCAAAATCATGCTTATCTATAACGTTTATAAGGTGAGTCACCTATGGGAAGAGGTATGATTCGGTAGCCGGTTTGATCTTGCGGCATTTGAGGAAAGATAATCACCTTCCATCTCTCGTCGATCAAACAGGTCTTTGAACTCAACCAGCCATGAGCTCCAAATGATGAATGATGAAGAAAATATATAGCCTAGATTTGTTACTTTAAAGTTATTCTTTCTGAGAAGGCAAAAGTTTCTGTTTTTACAAATCTCTTCGGATACCACACACCTCGGAAATGTCACGTATGAGAGAATATTTAAAAAACCAATCCATCTGAATTGCACCCTTCTCGATGACATCCTTAAAAATGCATTTCTTAGAGAGTCTATTAATAATATCCGAAGAAGACCGTGTACATTCACAAATGACTTCGATACGGACTTTTAAAGATCCGCGGGAACAGTATTTCCACACTGATAAGAGTTGTGGTCCATCCGTCGATAATCCAATGAATTTGCATAGATTGTCGTGCTCTGTGCTCTTCATCTGAAAAATTTTTGCCTCATTTAATGCTTCACAGTGTCTCTTCAAGGAATCGGAAAATGCTATGGTATCCCACGACTAGGCTTTTAAACAAACTTTGCTCATTGCACTTTTGCGTAATTCACTAAGTGTAAAAATTCTTTTGCGGTAAAAAAGCCAACTAAGGCTAATCTGATGAAACAATAAGGTACTTTTCCTGGAGGAGCAGCAAACTTTTTTACATCGACACTGTGTTTGTTATACCTTCTAATGAAATTTTACGTTGCTTCCATTTCTCATCGACTGTCGTTTCATGTGACCCCTGTCTTGATCGCACCTCATAATGCTTTTCTTTCTACCTGCACAGTGCACTGGGCTTCCTCGTTGCAGTTATGGAGACGGACGAACTCGTCCAAGCGACAGTTTTTCTTAGGAAGCCTAATCTTTTCTTGAACGACGCAGAGAGTAGCGATTGTACGTTGGAAGCTTCAACACAATTATATACAGAAAAAGAATAGAAGAAGAGTTTTGTTAGGTTAGGAAACTAATTTTGGAGAAAAGAATCACATATGGCCCATACCTTCCGGAATGCCCATCCTTATATAGGTTATTGTAGCTCATATTATCCCGCCGTCGCTAGACTGTTATACACCACCATTTCTTACCTTTCTAAGCAACGCACAGTCTCCTTTGGTCAGTACCGGTCTCGCAGTGTGTATCTTTACGACCACCGATTCCTCTCCCAAGAAGCAGTACTGGTGGCGATGCGTATCCTGAAAATATTTGCAGTAGCAAATGGCTACGTTTCTAAAAGTGAAGATCACCACAAGCATTGTCTTGTTTTTAATGCACTTTTCCCTTTAGCTAGAAAACTTTTTGTCAATAGAAAATACCCAGTGAAATGATGAAAAGCTCTGATTGTTTGAGGTGGTCGGTTTTAAAAACTGCCTATTGAGAAAAACAAATGATTGTATTACATTAGAGGTTTATCAAATCGGTAACCCTTGGCAGACAAAGGTTTCTAAGAATTGTTAAACAAACCTTTTTCGACTCTATCGTCATCTTGGTACTGGTTGTGACCGTACTTTGCAGTGAACGCGAACTCAAGGCAGTGCTCTAAATTTTGGATAACAATATTATTAAAACTTAATGGGTTCAAATGAAGTGGAAATGGTGATGTTTCGATTATCAATAGGCGAAGGCAGAATTATAAGTGCTTTTTAGTCTTTTGATTCGGAAATTGTAAGGCCTTGATGGTTTGGATTAGGTTCGTAACATCGTCTTTGGACGATTAGTCGTCTAATCGTGAGTATCGATCCCGTCATAGAAATTGATTCCGCACTGGAATGATGCGAATTGAAAGATGGTAGTTTACTTTAATTGATGAAAGTTGATTACCGAATGGTGACGAACTAGGGTCGCCCTAGCACAGCTAATTCAGGTTTGTAAGAAAAATCAGCGCCGGCCAACATTCGTATCGTAACGTCTGTGAGGACAGAACAGTACAGATCATCAAGAAGCTTCCAATCCCACACACACGTATTCAACAAGCTCTATGGATGGTATTTATAGGACAATGGAACAAATGGAAAAAGTGCTTGGTCCCATGCGACATTCAAGGACAAGTCATCTGTGTATTTCAGAGAATCGAGACGAACTGAAGACCAAATGTATAAGATAGAATCAACCGAAAAGACTTGAAATACAGCTGTCACGACAATACGCAGATACTTCTTCGATGGAAACTGCATTTCTGATTTATTGACTTGAAAACCTTTCAAACGGTTTTTCATTTCACCATTGCGAGCTTGTTAGATGTAAAACAAGGATCACACTTTGCTGAGTCTGACGGCTAAAAAGATTTCAACATTTCCATCTATGAACCTAGCTGCTTAAAAATTACTTTCGTGAGTCGCTGCTATCTTGCAAAAATACCGCTCGCATAGTAGTAAGCTTTACTTTGACCTAAATAGTGTTCGACTATAGGGATGCCCTTGAATCTTTTGAACTTCAGGAAAAGTACTGTAAAGTGCTAGTTAAACAGATGTTTTGGAGCTGGTACAACTACTGAAGCGAACTATTGTATGTCATGGACTCAATAGCACAATCGTTTGGGGTTATAGTATGCAAGAAGACTACGTTTAGTACTGAATATAGTCAATGAAAAGCATCGCAGAGATCAACTGAAAGTGGTAATTAGGAATAAGAAACGAATTATCAGTGTGAAGTAGTGTATGGAACCCTCTGGAAACCGACAAAGGCATTTAATGCGGAATAAGGAAGTTTACCAGATACTATTCCATTTCATTTATTGCTGGACGAATTGTAAGATACAAACTAATTTTTTTTTTTATTTTATTCGATCCGTCTTCACGTCTATTGTGCGGATCCCTGCACTTCTCACATCCAATTCGTTTCCTCGCATACATCGTCCACAAAAGTTCTCCAAGTTTTTACGTGTGGCTTCGGTTCCAGCTTCAGGGTTTTCATTTCATCTTGAATGCCGCAGAGTGTTGGTGGAGCAATTCTCCCTGGAATCATCAAATGGCTGGGCTGGAACGATCCAAATTGGATCGCAGAGGGTGATTTTATCCCAGAGAAGTCCGGTACCAATTTGCTGACCCCGGGGATAAGAGAGGCTTGATTGGCCCGGAGCGGAATTCTGCTTATAATGACGGACATCACTAGCACTGTGCTATCCGCCTCGTAATTGAAATCATTAATTTAAATAATTTAAAAGTGAAGCAGTTAATTTCCTCTAAGAAGTAAAAAGACCTAATACCCCAATACTGATTTTTAAGTAGCCTCATGTCATGTGTTTTTCTGTCTTCACTAACATTTTGCTTCGTTTTCTCTGGTCATTCATATAGACCGTTTGTTTCCAAAACAAATTCAACTATGGATTAACGAATCGTAGCCTGTCGTTCTCAGTTAAGATGCTGAGTGGAAATTGATTGTGATCATATCTGGTATCCCGCGACAGCAAGACGGGGTCGTTCGAAGGTCTTAACCATAGGCACTAATAGGTCCTGGTGGACCCCAGAATAGAGACACTGGTTTTCAAGGCGATAACAATTTCTCCGATTCGTCAACTGCTACATCAGAGACGATTTCTAGCACGTCGATTCAGTACGAAGAATTTGGAGCGAAAATGTGTTTAAGTTATTGATGAACTACTTTTATTTTTTGATACCTTCGTATTTTGTTTCAGCAGAGTAGTGAATGGAACTTTCCAAAGTTCGTTTAAGCGTTCATATTTCATCCTCCGATACCTGAATTACAAGAAATCTTAAACAACATTTAAATCAGTCGCAAATCAAGGAAACTAAACAACAAAAGCTAGACCGCATGTTTGCCTTATTATAATCCATACCAAATTTCAATCAGTTTGAAGATATTCACCTCTATCATTTAGCTTACTTTTACGTGGGAATGACTCGAGCGAACGCTAGTAAATATTCCATTTCTCTCTCGCGCGCAAGAGTAACCCTGTCGGTTCTCTTGCTCTAGGTACTGTTGCGAATCATGTGTATCTTCTAGGGTTTTCGTGAACAACTTCGACAATTAGGTCGGTGGTCTTTCTGCAGTACGTTTAGCATTACAAGAAACTTAGTAACTGACAGCTTTTGTCCATCGACTGTTGACTACATGCATTTGCATTAACTCACTAGCCCACCTTATCTTCGAAAGTTTGGCGTGTAGAATAGCGTCTTTGATTTTTGATGGTCGACGTAGGTAGTAGCTTCGCATCCCTCCCCTCAATTGCATGATTCGGGAGACTCCTAACACCGTACTTTCGACTTCGCGTTCTACAACGCTGTGTGATCTTTCACTTTGGTTACGCGGTGACCAGTTTGGCGACGTATACGTTAAGGGAAGAAGAATCGTAGAGTCGAAAAGTTGTGCACGTAACTGGGCGTATTTTGCTCTCTTGACTACATCCCCGATGCTCCTGAAAGTTTCCCAGCCCTCTTGCTATCTCCTGCTCAACTCTGGAGCTGAGCCGCTTGTCATGTTGACTTCCTCTGATGCATCGCAGATGTGCATACCATTGGTCATGATTGGGCATACGAAACCAACTCTTTCTTCTTGAATATCGCTTTTGTGAATTTACTCAAAGACCAGTCTTTTCATAAGCGTTATCACAGTCGTCATTCGTCTCACCTAGTTAATGCTTGTTGCTACAAAAACGATTTCATTAGCAAGGCAAAGGTTGTGTAATTGCCGGCCATCGATTCCCACGCTCATTTTGTCCTATTCCAATATTCATGTGACACTCTCGAAGCGTATAGTATTTTTGGTGAGACCTCCTTGCTTTATCGAGCTTTTACGTCTATTTTAATGTCGTTGTATAATGGTGACAATGTGGTTGTCAAATTTTTATACAGCTCACGAAGGATATTCATGTACTAGCCACATTCAGAGCTTGTACTGTCGGTTGCGTATAAATTGAGTCAAACTTCTTTCTTAAGTCGATGAAAATGAAGCAGTGCAGTCTCTCGTATTCTTGCGATGTTTCAAGGAGTCCTGGAATCGTCTGGATGTGATCTACACTAATGAATGTTTTCGAAACTCTACTTGCATGCATGGCTCTCTTTGTCTGCTGTTTTTCCATTCTTGCTAAGGGTGACTCTAGTGAGAAGTTTATAGACGACAGACAGCAAATAGATGGGGCAATAGCTGTCGATGCCGTGAAGATCACACTTCTTGAACCATAACACCGTCTTAATAGTTTTCCATTGAATAAGGGGAACCTTTTCTTTTAACAGGCAACTTGCGAAAAGCCAAGCCAGTATGTTTACGACGAGTGGCGGAAAGTCTATAGATCTTGTCCGGTCCGGCTGCTGTGCTTCCCTCTTTATGATCTTTTATTGCCTGTTTGCATCGTTTTGCACGTTCGAAAGTGAGTTGTTGCTCGCAGGATTCCACGTTGGCGTATCAGCTCGAGCGTTTCTGGAGACAGACGTCACCTGGAGACTTTCATACTCTTAGCTTGCATAGCGCTAACGTGATGTTGAATGAGCCATTCGCGTTTCTCATCGATATTACCAGTAACGGTATCTTTCCAAGAGTCGACTAAAGAACTGAATAAATTCAAGTATATGGTGGTTTTCGTACTTGGTTTTCTACATTTAGTGACTTTTCTCGTTTCATCGAAAACGAAATCCAGCACGAAGGAGGCGAAGGTCTGATTCTGTGCGTAATTTTGGGACAACAGCGACTTTGACTAGGGTGAACCTTCCATTTACTATGATGTGGTCTATTTTGTTATAGTATTCCACAGTGTGGTGCTTCAACTTCCACCCTTGAGAGTAGCGCTTCTGGAATTGTGAGTCACCATGATTGGTCTTAAGCGCCACGGTAAACTCAGATGGCCCTTCACCTTGTTCGTTCCATTCTAATTAGTGTCTCCCAATGTGACGTTCTTCAGAATTGTTTTTCATCCATCTTTATGTTGAAATCTCTATTAGTCATTTTAGAGTATGCAAATGACCTTTCCTGCAGAACTTTCCTACATCCATGTAGAACACTTCCATTTTGTCTTCGTCATAGCTTGATCTCCGTGCGTAGTCGACGAAGATCGTCAAAATCGGTATTGATCCACATCTATTCAACAGTGAACGTCCGACCCCGGTTGTTGGCTGTGTTCATGTCAAACTCAGACAGCCGCTCAGCCTGTTCATTCCGTTCTAAACCGTGGGTCTCAATGTGACGCTCTTCAGACGATCTTCTTGGTCCAATCTTGGCGTTGAAATCTCCAGTGGTGACGTTGAAGAATGTATGCTCTTCTCTGTAGAACTTCTCCAAGTGCATATTAGAACGCTTCGGCTTCTTCTTCGCCATAGTTTGATGTCGTCGCGTAAACGACGAGCATTGTCAAAGTCGGTATTGATCCACATTTTTTTAATCGTAAATGTCGGGTTGTAAACTGTTCGAATGAATCTATGTTCATGGACAAACTCGTGTTGACGAAAACGTCGACGCCGTCGACACCTCTACTGTCCTATGTTCCGAGGATCAGTTCTTCTCTAGTGTCATAGACGGCGTTAAATGGGTGGCGTCGTCTCGTCTTGGCCAAGTCGATGATGTCGTACCTTATCCTTTTTGCTTGCACGGGCTAATCTTCTATCGAGAACTCGGATGCAAGTGTACGTGCATAGTAGGTACAGATCGTCACCTTAGTTCTTTGTAAATCAAGCAGCTTACATCGGCCCTGAGATTTTAGCGGCCTTTCCGTACTAGTACTAACCAACGCTGCGAAATTGGGAACTTTTTCGGGGCCAGGGGAACGACGCCCGTTTTTTCGTTAAATTCTCCGATGATGACTTTGAAGAATGTGTAGTCTTTTCTGTAGAACTTTTCCAAGTCCATATAGAACGCCTCGACTTCTTCTTCGTCATGGCTTGATGTCGACGAGTAAATGACGAAGATTGTCAAACTATGGATCTGCATCTCTTCAATCGTAAACGTCCGATTCAGGTTGTTGATTGTTCGAGTGAATCGATGTTCATGGTCAAACTCCTTTTGACTATAATGCCGGCACTGCCGACTCCCGGACTCTCGAGTTTCTAGAAACACTTCTTCTCCGGTGTCACAGACGGCGTTTAGTGGGTGGCGTCTTTTCGTCTCAGCGACTCCGATGAATTCGTGCCTTATCCGTCTTGCTGCATGATCAACTCTTCTATGCTGCAACTCTAGGACATAGGTGAAAGTGCGCGTGCACTACACTAAAAATCATCGCCTTGGTCCTTCGAGGTTTAGGCAGCGTAAAATAACTGTAGGAGTTTAGCAGTTCTTCTGTGGCTGTCCTGCTCAATGCCGCCGTATCAAGAGCCCTTTCGGAGTCAGGAGAATAACTTTGTTTATCTCACTATGCTTAGCGTTTGTTACCCACGTTTAGCTTACTGAGCTCTGAAAATGAGTGCTGCGTATACTTGTGAGTATCTCGCATCGCTGTCCCAGGTTAGGTGGGGAGCTTATCTGTTAGATGCAACTCCTAACCGCCTCCCATATAGTTCCTCGTCACTTTATTGCAGGCTTTTGGCCAAATTAACTGGTAGAATATAACCCTCATAAACGAGAACACACCACTCACGCATTGATACGCTTTCGTAGTCACAGAAAGTATGTGCCAAATCAGCGCAGCGGAAATAAGTGCTCATCTCCTGGATTCTCCTGCGCCTCACGGAAGCAAAGGTCGCTTTTGATCTGCGATCAACCCCTTACCCGCCACCCGGGGTCGTGTTACGTCACTTTGCTATGAACCGGCAAGAAATGAGGGAGAGCATTGGTTTAAGATATTAAACCAAATAATATTATTAATAAAGAAACCAAAGACAAAAGTAACTATGGACATCTACATAGACGTTTTTCTTTTCAAAATGCCTCGAATACGCTGCCGAATGAGTTTACAGAAACCTTAACAGGAGGGCGAATGCCACGATTGCGATGGCGATTGGTACGATGATGGCAATGAGAGTGATGGTCAAGTATTTCTCGGCGAAAGACGGAGGACAGGCGCTCCTGGAGAAGGACTTTGATAGGACCAAATAAAGTAAGATTTTGTTATTATGTTTAACTCGTCGGTCGAACTACAAATGCCTATACTCATTTATCTGGTTAAAATTTAAATAAGTGTCAAATTCTCTCACAATGTGAGAAACTCCTATGGCAAAGTTATGCAGAGGAAGCAAATAACTAAATCAATATTTAGTTATGGTAACAACGCATTTCTTTGCAACTAAACTTACTGAAAGCTCAGAACTATCTTGGTTTGAGTATTATGCAGTTACCATTTCTAATTTTTAGGAGGGCGTGTGGTGCAATGGTCGAAGGTGCCCTGGAACACACACATGGTGTCGATCCCCGCGCCCATGGCCCACTAAGCCTTCCATCCCTACGGGCTCTGCAAATTGGTATCAGACTTGTCTGAGAGGATGGCAGCACTGACCCGATACATCAGGAAGCCACCGCGAGCCGTTATAAAGGCGAGGTATGCTTTTAATCAACTCTAAACGTTGCTTAATGAAGTCGAATGCATGGCGCATCCCTTAGGGATTGATTAACGCCGGGAGCTTTACCCTTTATTTTTGTCTACTATAACTTCATTTTAATTTCTTATTGCTTTTACTTATAATGAGATTTAGACGATAGTTTTCAGTGTTACTTCAAAAGCAGCTTTTTTAAAAAAACATTCACATGAAACAAAACGGAAAGGAGTCAGTTAACAAACCCATCATAGTCGCAAAGTGGTCGATTTAGAGGAGGAGAACCACCATGATGTGCCCAAATCACGGACGCAGGATACATGTCATGAATCTGATCTGGCCAATATCACTTTCTTATAGCGAAAGTTCTACTGATAAGTCACAAAACTATAACTTACTAGTGAGGTGCTTATATTTGTCAAGTCTTCGGTAGTTGTCATCAGAACTATTTGCTGGTCGTTGGAGTCCAGTCCATAAACCAAAAATTCAGGATCTCGAGTCAAATTTGCGTTAATGGTTACGGAGCCGGAGAAACCTAAGATTTATCAAAAAGAGTGAAATTACATGCTTATGCCACGAATACATGTATACACGAATAGATATGCTGTTCTAAGCTGATCAATATATCAATATTTTATTCATTACAATCAAATCTTCAGTTAAAAGTAACTGATAGAATGATCACCTGCATCTCTTGGTTTCTTAGTACCTGCGAAAGAAGTTTGACAGTAGTCAACAGGGTTTTCACTCTTCTTTCGAGAAAATTCGGTAGCTTAGTTATTAACAATGCTGGTTTTGGTATGATATATGCGAAACCTTGGAGAACGTAATGGCTTAGGGGATTTTTCCATTAGTCGGTCCATGAGTGGTAATTTCTTGAGACTTCTTCCAGAGTGTTGAAGAATCTTTAAAATGCTTCAGAAATTAGTTTGATCGCGAATGCTTCTATTCATATTCAGACATAGTTCGAAGATCCTCTGTACCATATTCAGTTTTTTCTTTATGCGGCAAAAGTGTCAGTCTCTGTGTCTCTCCGTACAGCACAAGTATGGGAAAGCTATTGCGTGACAAGTAAGCATGGTTTGACATTATCAGGCTAGTTAGTGGCATGCAAACGTTGTGATTTTCTCATTTAGTGGTCCATCAACGACAATTTGTTCACCCTCATTGAAAATATATTTCACGATATTTTCTTCCGCTTAATCAGTAGTCCCTACTTCTCCTCTACTTTGTTGGACTCCACTAGTATTGTTTATTCTTCCCATCTTTCTACGGGATTATTTGCGAAGACGGCCACGCTTTTTACCGATTCACCACTGTGTAGAATCCTAGCATCAATGAAAAGCTCAAGGCTTGGCACAACATAGCCCAGATATGTCTAATTTTGGTTAATCTTCTATGACGGCTACATGCTATGCTTTTAATGCACATAGGTTTACCTTGCTTAAATGTAACACAATGTTTTGCACGTTAAAATTGTCATGGGCTCGAAAGTTTTTGAGATGGAGTCTCTGATAGGTTTCCGGGCTTTAAAGAAGCCAGTCGGTTTCCTCGGCATTATTGATAATGGTGTTTTTAAAGAATTACGCCAAAGTAGTTTAGAGAAAGCTCCTACGTATCCTATTCTCTTTGATACCTCCTTTTTGGCCTGTGCTACTTTTGGTTGATTAAAAATTTGTTGGAGAGAAGACGAAAATCTGATCTCGTGTAGAGCTTCAGACCGGTGCATCCCTGTATTACAGGATTCCTCGATTGATGAAGTAGTGCGCAATATCAATATTGTATTCTCTAACAAAAGAACATTGAAAATACGGTCTTTAAGGCTACAAGTTGTCGTAGTCGGTCCTCATCGTCGGAAGTTTTTATAGAGCTTCCCAAACCGGCTCGTTCAATACCTCTTTGTGAATCGTGATGTGCAACCCCTACGTCTTCCTGGAAGAAATCTAGCACCAAAATTCTCAGTGTCCACTTCTGCATCTTTTTTAGTTTTGAACGAAGTGCCCCAATATCATCTTTTCAACAACTTGAGTTTGCGGAAAAGTGATGAGGACAAAGTAAAAAAGGTCGAATTTTTATAAACCTCGGCGCAAACAATCGTTATCTGCATACATGTCCTTACGAACTACCCTTGTTTAGTTGACGCGAAGTTGGTATAGATGCTCCTATTGTTATTGTTGTCGTTGTTCGATAGCTGACGTTTTGGCGACTTCGCCTTCCTCGGAGCCTGGACATATATGTAAAAAAAGCCCCATAATTCGGTGAAATCTATAGTATTACTGAAGGTCCAGCATATGGCTAAGTGCCAGTTTTCCAAAAATTCCTCACCGTACTGCCGGACCACCCTTGTGTTGCTCACGAGGGATGGTGAGCGAGACCCATCCATGGTGAAGTGTATCAAAAAATCGTTCTGTGATAAAGTGTCACACCACGTGTGACAATGAGTCTTTCCGGTTCATCTTTGCTTTTACTTTTACTTCACTTTTAAGACCGTTTTTAGGCAGTCGAATAAATTTCAAAAGTCCGAAAATAAACTGGAAACACGAATGCCTCACTGTCACACGTGATATGACACCTTATCTCAGAATGACTTTTTGATACGCATCCCCATGAGTAGGTCTTACTGACTATCCCCCATGAGCAACACACGGGTGGTGGTCCAGCAGCATGGTGAGTAGTTTTTGAAAAATTACCATCCATTTGTATACTGGATATTTATTAACACTACAGATTTCGCAGAATTATGGGGCTTTTGTTATGTATGATACGTCTAGGCCCTAAGAAGCCGAAGTCGCCAAAAGACCATCGACAAGGGCAACAATAACAATAAGAACATCTATACCAGCCTCGCGTCAGGTAAGCAAGGGCAGTTTGCAAGAACATATATGAAGAAAATGTCGAATACGGTTTTTTTTAACTTAGATCGAAGGCTAACAGAAATGCGTTGTATATGCAGATTGCTAGCAACAGGTTTTCCAAAATTTAGCGTAGTTGTTTGTTACGATTAGGATCTTGCAGCAGTTTGTCCCCAACCAAGGTTTTCAACGATTCCGCGATGTATTCTTGGAGCCGAAGGGAATTAGGATCCTTACTTCTATCGTTTTTGATAACTATTTCTATGACGGTTTTTTTGGCGTTACGCTGAGCTGGTAATATCTACTGTAAAGGCTTGAAAACATCAGCATGTCTTCGTGTCCTCGCGCACCGTTGCAGTTTATGTCAACGCGACATGGTAAGGGCAAAAAGCTGTCCCCATAAGTCACTTTGCCGTTGTAAGGAGTAAAAATAGAAAACACCTTACATATTTGCCATGCTCTCTGTAACCTATCAGCGAGTGAGGCCATCTCGGTAGCTCTAGCGTGCAAGCGGAAAGAATGTAAACTCTATCAATGATGACTGCTCGGTTCACTCGATGAGGAGAGGAAACAAGGGTCGTAAAAATGGCACTATATATGCAGCGTTACTTCAATAACAAAGTATTAATGTTTCATTGTTGTTTCTATGGTGAACTAAGTTGTATATGGTGGCGAACCTTAGCGCCATAAATTTTTCAAATTTTAAAACATGTCACTGTTTCTAAACATTTTTGAAAGCGTCATCTGGTCATTCTGCAGACGGTGCCGATTCCTTGCATCCATTGAATTGTTTAAATTTCTTTACTCACCTTGAAAGCTGCCTTTCGCAAAATGCACTAGCTCGTATCCTGTTGGATTCGGTAGTCCGGCGGCTATTGAACGATTCAGTGCAGTCGCATAGAGCAACATTGAATCAGCCAATTCACTAACTTGAGAGGTAGCCTAATAAAAAAGAGGCAGAGATCACTACTCTTAACGGCAAATTATAAAAGGTCCTTACAGTTCGTCACTGTGTTACATCTTTGAAAAAACAAACAGTGGGTTAAGATGTTTTAGTTTTATCGCTTTTCATTGCTCCTTTTTTAGTGATTTCAAAATGCTCAAAAATTATAGCAGTTTTTTCAGAAATGGCCGTGGCTTTTTCCAAACCAAATTTGACTTGCCGAATTCCGTTCTTCCTCAATGGCTTCAGGCCTCATAGAAGCTAATAGGTGTTCATGAGTGCCAATTTTTATCTATACCAGACTTTTCTCCTTTTACCAGAGCCAAATAGCCGAACAAGAATAGTGACAACTCCATCGGTGAAAGCTCAGGTGGGAGAAGTCAGCAATACCTTGACAGTGCTTGGCTAGCTTGCCGTATATGCTTCATTATCACGTACAATGACAAGAAACGGCTTCACACTAAAAATCGTTTTGCTCTCCATGTACTGCCGGCTAGTGAGGAGCATTGGGAAGCTGTGACTTAATGAGATTGCCCAATAGGAGTTACCTAATCATTGGGCACGTGACAAACGTGAATTGTTTTTTTTTAGTAAAATTTCAATATTAACTTTTCTTATTTACTGGTAATTACAGTTTTTCACGGCAGGGTATTATGTGAAATACAAGCGTAATGGTGCTGAGATATTTGCAAAACTCCGGACCGCAGGTGTCTACGGTGGCTTCACCACCACACCGTGTGAGTTTTTTTCAATTTTTGAATTTCAATCAAAATTCCAATATCTTTATGAAAAACACTAGCCTGTTTTTAGATCAAACCAAGGTTGGCAAGTGGCATGTGGTATCACTGCTCAAAAAATTATTCGATGAAAAGTATTCGTCAAAAATTAGACTTTAATGAAGAATTTCCAAAAATGGATATTTAGTATGACAATACTAGAAAAAAACTGAAGTTTTACAAAATTTCGAGATTCTGTAGATGTGAATCACGGAATGAAGCATAAGTATTGGCTATAATGAGCACCATAAAATTTATTATTGCCCACGGTGGAGATCTGTTAGAAGGAGCTTCAGTAAAAAGCTTACTTTGGGATCAATGTAAAATTTAAAAAATGCTGTTCTCCGGAGCTTGAAAAACTGTAAGAGAAATCAAAGACACTCCACTATAGTTTCAAACGCCTGGCGAGATTGTGCTGATGTTATAGGCACAGAGCAAGAAGCAGTCCCCAAGGCGTGGTGTGGGCGACTTTGTTTGGCCCGGTTCCAATCCCACCAAGTGCAACACGAGATTCGATTGTCTCACCATCTATCGTCGTAGACGGGAGTGGCCATTGTGCAAGGTACTGCAGCTCATTTATTGCTCGTTGAACCATTTATGGCGTCCTGGAGTCTCAAAGTTAGTCCTATCTTATGTTTCGCTCGCGTCGTCACCACAGCCCCTGCTGATGGGTAAACTCACCTACATCTCACTCCGACACCTAGGAACACCCCCAGCATCGATGAGGTAGGCGGTAAGCCATTGAGGACCTTTCTTACCATAGGTGAAAATATGATATTTGCAAAATTCTTAATATTCTTAACAATTTTGCGTGTTGTTACTTTTATAAAGTTCAAGTATTCTAACGAAGTCGTACAGACCGGATCAATGTCGTCGCAGTCTGTGCAATTGTACGGTGGTTGGAGCATCTTGGCTTTGATATCAGCAACGAACTGTGTAGACGAATTGAGTGGTGTTCGGTCGATCTGCTTTGATTAAAGTTAAACCCATTAACGTTATTAATATGCATAAATATTCCAATGCCTAAATGCTAGAAAAAGTCACCACAAAGAAATTTCTCGCCGCTTGTAGTGCCAGGTCATCTTTCCCGTCTGGTGTCTCACTTGTGTCCTTCCACAATTCGCCTGGTGTAACAGGTTTTCAAAAAACAATTCTGTGGGAAAAATCAAACCTGCATGAGATTTGCAAAGTTTTGTTAAACGAGTTTACAAAAAGCACTAGTAAGAAATTTAGGTAAAATTCTTCGTCGGAACGTATTTCTTTCGGATGTTTTTTTAAAAAGCGAATTAGTTTGACTATCAGCTTTCGGGTGGTGAGTAGACAGGTCATAATAACTGTTGTTGGGAAAGAAGTATTAGTTAGGACATTCTTTATTTATACTGCCGTTCTGGATACCGCTATTGTTTCTTTTGAGCTCAAAAGAAGAAATGAAGGTCCTAAAAACATGTGAGGCACCAGCATGGTTTGCCGATGCTTTCCACGAAGGCGGTTCCATGACATGAAATATTAATTGTGAAGAGGAAGAGAAAAAAGGTGGGACAGAATCAAGGCTTTGCGTCGATCTTTTTGCCATACTATTCCGTCTAGTGCTGTGCCATATGGCTAAGCTGGTGATATGGATGCTTCAATAATGTTGAGAATCAGGAGGAGCAGAAAGATTGGCCTTCGGTTAAACTGCAGGAAAACTACTCTTATTAGGAACGAAGTGAATTCGTTTCTGAAGTGTAATCCACACTCAAGGAAAGGAATATCTAAAAATGATCCAACTATGTGAATTTAAGTCGGAAACTCAGTATTATATAAATCGGCTTCAAAGCTGGGCACGAAGAGACAATCAGTCTAACGATCGTACAACAGCGCAGGGGATTTATTGCAGGTGACAAAGAACGCCAGCTCTATGCGTATCTCTTCGTATGCACCACTGCTCTTGCATCACAGCATGTCTCAGAAACTTCAACGTAACAAGATCAGCGATCTTAAAGCGTTATCAAAAGCGCTCTAGAGCATTTGAGATTTTGTATGTCGTAAATGAGTAAAGGAATTCGAAGCTACCATCGGCTTCGAGGTGAGGGACACTCCCGCATGTGTGGAAAATTAAGCGGGCCTAATACGTGAGGTATCGTAACATTCAATATTTTCTTGGACTATTAAGCTAAGACGATGATGGTAAACAGCGCTATTCGGCTAGTGCTCCGTTATCACTCTCTTCGGGGCCGGACTGATCCGAGTCAATGCTCCAAAGGTTATGGTCTTCCGCCGATGTGGATGTGCGTTGTCATATTGAGTCGAATCCAATGAAGTGGACCTTCACTCGAATAAATGAGGAATCTCACACTGCGGCCTCTTATACAAGATGAATGTTGATCTGCTGCCCTGTAACAGTCAGTATTTCACTAGCCTGGGTACTTATCCCAAGGTTTAATGGAAGTCGGTTTCTGGACGTATTGTTGCGCTGTGTCCCAGCTAATGAGATACCTACTGTTTCAGGATGTATTGCCGCCAAAAGCAAATCATGTTAAATTGGGAAAATAGATCAATGTCCGGTCAGTATAAAAGGGCACCACCGAAGGCGATTTTTCACTCGAGCAGTGCTCCACTTCAATTGATTCGACTTGACGCTACAAGAAGCATCTACATCGGTTCGACGATCATCTGCAGACCAGATAGCGGGATCAATCCGGCGTTGATGAGGTCGAAGACATTGAAGCGCTAGCCGAACAAAATTTCTTGCTAACCTCCTGTCAACTTAATAATCTATGGAAATGTTGGCTATTTATGCCAAGGTTTGATTGAAATCGGTTTTTAGAAATATACTAACGATTACTAATGGACAAACGCACTAACGACTTAGTTCAATGAGAGGTCATTCTCACGAAACCAAGGTAACCCCTCCACGATGACGACAAAGAATATAATGGTGGTACTGTAGTGGAATTTATAAAGCACAGATTTATTGTTTGATTCTTTTGACGAAATCATTAGAGAGCAATAGTAGCGAAGCATACCGAATCCATTTCTTTGAATCTGAATCAACAGCCACATATATTCTTTGGTAGCCATACCTTCCTCAGCTATCGATATCATAAGCTGTCGTTTTGCCTCTAAATCTTCCATGCACGTAACTATTACTGAAATACGGAGATTCCCTCTCGTTTTCTAACATTCGCAAAAAATCTTCTAAGAACTTTCTAAAAAAAGTGATGGCCGACTTCGTGACACGTCCCTGATGGAGCGAAGAACGCTCGTCAGAGTGTCCTTGTTGAAATTATTCAACTGCCGGCGATATGTTATCCTTATCTTCTGATTTGCGTCAGCCAGGATCTAAAAATTCTAAAGTGGATGTGGTTTCACTAAAGCGGTAACTGTGTGGTCATTGCACTGGCCACTTAAAGAAAACTATCTCAAAGACCCATAAAGATTGTAAGAGCTGGAATGAAGAGAAAAAATAAGCCATTGGAACAATTGCTACAAAAATAATCACTCTTCACCATTAGGAGAAAAAAAACGTAGGTATGCTGAGGTATGGGGAGAGCTCGGAACATCAGTTGAGCTTCAAACCCGTGATTACCCTCAGAGGGGCTCACGTGCTGTCCACCACACCAACTAAGACCCTTGTTTTGCCTTTCTTCGAAAAACCTCACTCAGTTCGACATAAGCATAGAGTCCAGTCGAAAAGAAAGACTCAACTTCATAATATCGTTGTATCGACAAGCTGGATGTAAAACGCTTGACGTGAATACAAATGGTCTAATAAACAGCTCCTTCATCTTTGTTTGGGAATGGTGGCACAAAAAGAAACACTTTGTGTAAATGAAATAAAGCAGAACCTATTTTGGAACAACCTAAGCAGAAGTAATGAAAGAGGAATAAACAGGATGTTCTTCTTCAGTGCTTCAGAGTACTGCTGGATGTTCTAGATGCAAGTTCCTTTTTCACAGATACGGCACATTTCCAATTAAGCATGCTAATTTATTTGAAGAATTAGTGCCTGTGTAAAGTAACGCTAACGCACCTCAAGGTCGCTAATGGTAGCAGAGCATCGTGGTATCAAACCACTTCTAACCGTGTAATAAACCACCGCCACATCTCTCCATTGGTACCTTTCGAACAGTTGCACCAAGGTACGTGCTTGACTAAAGAATTTTGAAAAAGTCGTCAGTATTTCAATGCATGGGAAGAAAATCCAATTGGACGAGTTTTAGTACGAGTTTAAGGGCTTCACTTTACAAACTCTACTTGAGAAATGACAAGACAGAGTGTAAGAGTCTTCTAGAATGACGCCGAAATGCAATAATTATTAGCGTATCTCTAAATGTTTGCCGTCTGGTCGTAGCGTGAGGATACTCATTGATGTCGAACTGTGGTGAGTACAGCGAAGGTTGATTTCTGAGAGGGTTCACTCTGATAAAGAAAGTACATCGAACATCTTCATGAGGAATCGTTGCTACGAATAAAGCTATATTATGATACGACCTGGTGAGCCACCACTGGCTATCTTATCCTTGGGGACGGCAAGAACAGCTGGTGCAATAAGAATGTGTTAACTGAACAAGAGGAAGTCGGCGAACATCCACGTGCGCGATTATAACGGATCGAAGAGTTTGCTATTGCTTCTACTCGACAAACTAGTTTAATTATAACTGGTGCAGATTTCGTAATAGCTTTATACCGGCACTCCTCTTCTGTTTGTCCAGACGATCTTCCATCATTCCAAAGAATATCGTGGTCCCTGGACCGCCGTTATTTACTGCACTTAACTGTGCGTTCAAGAGTTAGACTGAGATATAGTTGTATTCGCAGGTGTCTCTGACAACCATGAAGTAGTGGGGATGATCCAGTTACCTTTTTCGCTTATCATGAACATTCGGAAGAAATTTAAGACTTCTTTATAACTTTCCAACTTTTAGGATACACATCTTTGTTAGGCACAACGTGAACGGCGAACCAGCTAACGAAGCAGCTCTGATGCATTCATTTTTGATGACTATCTTAGAAATAGATGTCCACGGATATGTTACTGATCGTGTCTTCTATTGAACTGCCAAATGTTTTATGAAAAGCTTTAAGCTTAAACATACTACCCTCTCACTTTAATATTGGATCCGCCTGATATTGGACTAAAATTGGCTGTACTTCCAAAGAATTACACGAGGCTTAATTACTGTTTCCATTTGACTGGTAACTTGGAAGCTGGACAAGATTTGCTTCCTTTGGAGGCTCCAAACCGTGCTACGGTTTCAGCTGTTGCTTGCCAGCTAGTTAATGTGTTGCTAAGGTATCAGACTTTCCTGGTACTGTTTTACCCTAACCTGTATTTACGATTGCAACTCTGAATTCATTCTCAGCTTTGTAGATCCCATCAGCAGAATGACCTAATATAGCCCATAGTTGTTCTAAGCCCCTGAGCGCTCAATAAGTCTGTAGTCAGTAAAAGTGCTGATATGAAACCGGCAATGAACGAACCTGACCGAACTCCAACTTGGCGACATCAGCGTCGGGTAGTCGCTGGTGTTCAGCAGCTTTGATGAGAGGGTAGTGGCCCATATTACTATTGGAAAATTAAGAGCTTTAGCGACGATTCCAGATATAAGAGCGGCTAAAGAACGAATGAATTTTATTGGTGCTCGCTAGTGAAAATGTTCAAGAGACATTTCATTACAACATTCATTCACTTTTCATTTTTCATTTTTTTATTCTTTCATTTTTTAACTTGTTATTTGGGTCAAAAATTCGAAGAAAAACAACTAATAACAGCCGGTAATTTTTTTTAAAAAACGTTTAGATTTGAACTAAAGTTCAAAATTAGAGGTAGGTGAACTCATAAAACTGCACATAAAAAATGATTAAAGTGAAGCAGAGAAAATATTGATCATATAAAGCACTGAGACCTATAGGTGAAACCTTTTCTTCGATAATTTTCAATTTGGTTGCATTTCGTCGGTGTATGACACGAGCGCGTGACGCAGTAGTCGGAGGCGCCCTGTAGCACACATGTGGAATCGATTCCCGTGCAACTGGCCCACCAAGCCTTCAATTCCTATGGGGTCGGCAAGTTGGTACCAGACTTATCTGGGTGGAGAGCAACAGTGACTCGACACATCGGTAGGCCACCGCGAATCATTGTAAAGGCCAGATTTGCATTCAATCTCCTCCAGAGGATACTTAATGAAGTTGAACGCATCCGCATCCCTCAGGGATTGATCAACGCTGAGAGTTTTATCCCTTATCTTTTTATGATACAAGCACGATAATGTTTAAAAAAGTGCCAAAGCAAACTAAAAGTCTTAACAATAAGGGGTCTTTATAATGACCTATTATGCTTTACTATAGACGATCGTAGTCCTCATTTGGCAACTAATTTTTTGCACCGCCAGGTTTTTGACATTGTAAGTTTTCTCTGTAACCAGCTTTCCTTTAACCTGGGCATGACTAATCAGCATGTATTTCCTTGATAAGCTAACACGAAGCGGATACAAAATTCGAAAAATAAAGTAAAAATAAAGAAATTGTATGTAGAGTTTTTGGCAGCAATGAACAAGGTTTCAAACCTACGTTACGTGTGGGGTGGATTTCCGCAGTTTCTGCGATACTGTGGCTCTTTGCGAGTTACGGCGGCAAAGCAACTTTGGACTTGAAATTACTTACAAAGGACAGCTTTTTTATTTATTAAAAGGCAGTGAGATAATTTTTGTATAAGACGTTTGCATTGCTATTTTCACGAAATATTTACATGATGGGCAAGGTGGTCCCAACACAACATCGACACCCCACCGCTGCCACTCGATAATGAAGCCGGCGTCTTGTGCTTTATTGCAATCGCTCAGCACCCATGTCAAGCTGAAAGTATTCTAGCATAACCCACCAAGTATAGTAAAATATTTTGAATCAACTGGTAAGAAAGAATCTCTTGATAAATGAAGTGAATTCAGTTAGCCAACAGGTTTTTACATACTGTTTATAAATGAGAGGCTAAATCTCGTCGGTAGTTGTTGCTTAGAAGGTAAAATACGAACCAAAAAAAAACATAGACAGACAGTAAGGTACAAATGGATTCAAGTGTTGGGCATCGTGTCTCTAGTTTGTATGACTGATAAGGAAGGGTCCTGCGAGCAAGCCATGGATAATATTTCGTCAAAATATTATCAAGGGAAAGGGTTCACACATAACAGTTTTCCATTCTTCTTATCCTTCGAGCCAGTGCATGCAACAAAGCCCACTAGGAGGAGGTGACTCGACAAGGACCTGGAAACTTTTCTGGGGTTCAGTCCGGTGTACTCATGGGTAATGGGTTTCTAGATGGCAGATAAAATATCATTTCAGTAGCAGTTAGCTCTTGAGAGAAAGAAGCCAAAAATGTACTTCTAGTAAACAAGGTTTTACGTTTTTAAAAAGGCTTTTCAACCAGAATTTAGATAGGTGTATACCAATGTCGAAAATTTCTGTAGTTCAATAAGAAAGCAAGGTAGTAGGTTGCAAATTCCTCAATGGCCTTTAGAGGAAAGGAACTGCCTTTAGAGACGGCTTGGAAACCTCTTAGTTTGGCTTTTTTGGAGCTGGAGGTGCATTTTTGTGAGTTTATGATTCTCATTTTTTCAAGTATAACTGTGTAGGTGTTGAACAAGCCGGTCGCATTCTTTATCGCCGCTGCCGATAACATATCTTTCCTAAAGTCGGCACATGATATCAATGACCTAAAATATACGATAGTTTTAGAGTTCCGCTCCTAAAATTGTTTGGCTTTATTTTTCTACCTCCTTTTAACAATAATATGGGCTCGATCCAGACGTCGTAAAACATTGAAACAAGGAAGAATAAACAAAATCTTCAATTTCCTGTGATTTTTTTTCCTAATGATTCAGTTCGCTATGGCACTCTCTAGCCCCATGCTTCAAAATCAGTAGAAGGGCTTTTATAGTTGTGAGTTACTATGGCTGAATGGTATGAATTGTCACGATATCTGGCGCTTATGCTACCCATTGTTTTAAAATCCATGGATTCCGATGCAAAGTTCTATGATATTCTGCTGAGAAAAATATTGGCTCTGAAGACGACGACGAAATGCTAGTAGAAGGAAAACTTCATCGCTGGGTTTTTCCAAGATCTTGTAGAATCAACATTATGGTTGCCGTTGCTTGGTGTCAAGACAAAGGCGACGAAGAACGATTGATAGAACGAATGCAACGGGGCGCATTTCTTTAACTATGTGAATACTTCTCGGATCATTAGGTGCCTAAGGAAATCAATATTCATGCGACAAAAAGTATGAAAACCGCTAGAACTGTAGAGGCAACTTTCAATTTCACTCGAGCTGAGAGCTAACAAGTAAGTGGACTCCTCACACCCCACATGAAAATACGCTTCCGCATAAACGGTTCTAGATCAGCGGCGAAATATCACCTATTGCCATGATCACTACCAACAGTGACCAGTAGTTCTCTCTATGCTTATAACACGATTTGCTTAATAAGTGCATTCTACATCCTCTTCACAGAGATTATACTTGCGCGCATTTCAAGCACGTCAGATGGAACAAAAGAAATCACTTAACAAATTTTCGGCACTGGTTCTAATGACTGAGTCATCCCGACAGCATATAGGACCACTAAAACTTGAATTTAAGAAGTTCTTTGTTAAGTAATTCCAATTAACCTGCCCCTACTCGCATCACAACCTTTTCTGACTGCGAAAGATCACTGGAGGGTAACGAAATTCTTATTTCAAAAAGTATCCAGTCTTCAAAGTTTTCCGCTACAAGCATCGAAGATAGAACAGACTTAGATGGTCCGACTCAGGTATGTTAGGCGCTAGAGAGACAAAGGAAAAGATAGAGAGAGAGAGAGACAGAATGTGCGAGTGAAGGACGTTAAAGCGGTATTCAGGATGAGGTCTGTGTCCTGTAGGGCCATCACCCATATGGCGTAGGAAGGCTTTTGTGGCTCACATTAGATAGTTGTTTCGTAGCAAAAAACGATTTACGGGTAGCAAAATGATACTGAGACTTCCAGTCCTACTCAAAGTGGACACATGTCATGAACATCCGATCATCTGGGTACGCAACGCGACGGAAAAATGCCAGCCTCATCACTCGTCAACATGACCGATCCAAGTGTTCAAGGTATAAGTATAAGCCTTAAAATAAGGTTATATTTTTAACCGTGACACAGAAAATTCTGCTGCATAGGTCGATTACGCCACGTGAAATTTGGCAACACACTTTAATCTGTCGTAGTCAGGCAAGATCCCGTCGCTTTGAATTTTGTCCCAAGCAACACCTACAGCACCAGCCGTTTTTTTCCATCCAATGAACTGAAATTATTTTATAAAAAAGCAAAGCTAAAAGTTTTAGGAAACTTGAAACTGTATTAAAAATGAGTGAAAACGAAAATGTGACTGAAAACCGCGAATACCGGTGAGAGATCTGTATCGTCATGCGCCGATAAGAGGCCAACGTCCAGAGTCTGAAAGATTAAATGGTTCAAAAAATCCGACTGGTATTGTGATGTAAAACTTGAAAACGGAGTAAATTAATTGACACTCCCTAACGGAAAGTGATGCCTTATTGATTGCTTAACATATCACAAGCAAAGCTGGTTTTTCACCAACTGACAATAATTTCTCAACGATCTTTTTCAAGCTTTTGACAAACCTTAAAAAATGGTTAGAAAGAGCATGAAGTTAACTTTTCAATGATATATAATGGTACAAGGTAAGAAAAGTATATTTTTAGCAGAAGACACATTAAACAAAAAATAATTTTAACGCTCATTTATTTCTGAACAACCTAATATTGATGGGAGACCTACCTATGCCACCTTATGCTTTGAAATTCCTTACACAGGAGCGATATCTTCATGGTTAAGGGTTACAGAGTGGAACACTATCGTGCCCTGTTAGGCGAAATACTTCGTGTTTGTTCGCTTTAACGCTTTGAGCTCGAGCTAAGGTGAAAAAAGCGAAAAATGGGTATCCCGTGTTACAGAAGCGAACAATTTTATCTGAATCAGGAGTAACTTTAGCAAAGAGTTGTAGGTTATAGTGGCTTTTATGAGAACTAGCTACGTTTAACACGCGTCAAAATATTTTATTTCAAACTTGGTTTTTTGAGCAAGACCATTAGACACTTAGGCTAACCACGATGAATGTTATCTTCAAATCATTTAAAAGCCCATCATCACCTTGATCTGTACCTTCGTTAATCATACAGTAACTCAAGCTAAAATCGGCTGTGTCTCCATCAGTCATCCTTGTTGAGCACAAGAGTTGCACCTCGAGCAATGCCTACTTGCGGGATGAGAAAAGTAGCACACTTTTCTCCACTAGAAGACACTTTAATCTTCCGTTTTTCACAGTGGCTTAGCGGCCGATAGAGTGCTTGGCCGTACAGCGATTAAGTGTACTGTGAGCAGAGATTCCCAATGGAAACGTAAAATTCACCAATAGGGTTGAATCTGCTATGAAAACTACGTTGTACCACAGTCGAATACCCAAGGCACACAACTATAAGTACATGCTCTAAGTCTATCAGTAAGTGAAATTTCTTAGAGATCAACTAACTTTTGACTGAACCACAGCGAAAAGAAGTATGACCGATATAGCGGTGATGGTTTTCATGCTTGGTTATTACTGCCGATGTCGTCAAGAACAGCAAATATTTGACGTCGAAGGTTTTCATGTGGCTGATTTGTTTGAGAACTCTCAAGCTGATTGAAAGGTTAATCGGAAGACTTCAAATATTAAAGGTTGCTTCATTTAATCAACGGTTACGAAGAAGCGGACGATTAGAAATTGCGTCGCGCTGTCAGATAGAAGGACTTCAACCCTGCTGTACCCTCTTGTTTTCTGATAGGCTTACAGTCGAAGAACAATGTTTTTATGATTAAAGACTGAAAAAATAACTTAGTTCCTACGTGTTTTAAAATTTCATATGCCTACATTCTACACACGGTATAGTGCGTATCGCGTAATGAAATAGTTTCCTTTTTCTTTTTGACAGAATGAGATTTCTTTTTCTCATTTTTCTTATATGACCCGTCTTCAGGTCTACTGTGCGGATTCCAGCACTTCTCACATTCGATTCGTTTCCTCCGATTCATTATCCACAAAGGTCATCCAAGTTTCTACGTGTGGCTTCGGTTGCTGCTTGAGGATTTTCATTTCATCTTGAATGCCGTGGAATGCTGGTCGAGCAACTCTACCTGGAGCCCTGAGATAGCCGGGTTGTAGCGTTTCCAATTAGATTGCAAAAAACGATTTTTTCCCAGATAAGCCCGGTACCAACTTACCAATCTCGGATGGATGAGGGGCTTGGTTGACCCGGAATGGAATCGAACTAATCGAACTAGCACCATGTTCATGATGGTGGACATTACTACCACTGTGCTATCTCCTCCATTCACTGAATTAGAATACCGATAAAAAACTCTGCAAACAATTCCGTAATATTAAATAAAAAACTTTAATATTCCTTAATTGATTGAAGTACATATCTAAAAAAAGAATTCCATTTACTTCTTCTCAGTGCCCCCTAAACGCAAATAATATCTTCGACTGCTTAGATTATAAGCAATATTTTTAGTGCTGGATTGGGCTACTTATATTGTTCGCGTTCGAAGTTGGTCGACTAATCAGAGGAAAAGCTGCCGTCTTAAAAGAAACCTTGTTATAAGACATCATACTACTCTCCGACCAACAACATCAATCAGGTCCTTATGATGAAGACTTGAAAACACTCTAGCTGGCTACCTTAGGATTATAGTTCAAACTGCGATGAGCTACCAGTGTAATCCTTCAGTGAATGCAGAAGAGGTTTTTTAAGCTGTGGTGTTAATCATATCGATCTTGACCACTTTCGGACTGCAAGGAGATGAATTAGAATGAAGTACTGAAGGCCGAACGAGATGCAAGGACAAGCCATCTGATCCAGGTATCTACTTAAGTAAATGTTCTCTAAATAATCTATGTAAAAACAGTTTAATGATAGTGAGATATTTGCAGAACTCCGGACCGCAGGTGTCTGCTGTGGGGAACGAACGCGCTATTATCCTTCCGGGGAGTGACGCGTTCACCACCACACCATGCGGGTCCTTCGTTTCCCCTGTCTCTCAGGTTAGTTTTATCGATCTTCGCATCAGCTAAAGAAGAGTAACAGAGGAACATCTCAATGTTGTTTAACTCTATCGAACATCCTCTGAAAAGGAATATAGAAATCATTATCCAAATTAAATCGAGAATGGGTCAACACGGCAGTAGGTTTAGAACCTTCAGTTATTTCTCGACTTAAAAACTAACATGAGTCGTCAATTACATGCGACTATAATCAGCTGTTCTAAACTTCCTCATTGGAAGTCACGAAAAAGCGGCTCTGAAGAAGGCGATACTGTCGAAACGTCAGCTAGCGTTGTATTGTATTGCGTTTTTCTATGAAAGTAAATGTATGCTGTTTAAAAACCTCGTGATTGCTGAACAAGAAAACGACACATTCAAATTCCAATGCCGAGGTTAAGAGAAAGTCGATCCTGGGAACAAATTAGAGGGTTGGCTGTGGGACAGCGTTTAGCACCAAGCCTTGCCATCGCTTTCATGTCTGAGGTGGAAGCTCCAGTTCTTGATCACCGACTCTTACTCTACTGTCGATACATAGACGACTGCTTCATCGTCCATTCCACACAAAAACAGATTGATGAGCCCTTTGAATTGTTAAATAGACAGTTAGACTATACAAAATTCACGCAGGAAGAGCCACTCGAGAACTAGCTCACGTTCTCAAACATCCAAATAAAGCTTTTAGAAAGGAGCTGCATAACAAAATGGTATCGTAAGCCAAGTAGTAAAAATATAGTGGTTTACTATCTCTCCTCTCATCCTTCACACATGAAAAAAGCACTTCTCAAAAACATGTATCGAACGGCTGAAAATATGTGCACAGGAGGAGAGGAAAGGAAGGAATCGCAAAACCTGGCACGAAAAGTAGCCATTTCCAATAGCTACGAAGTAGAAGCCACTCGGGTCGGAAAAAAACGCAGGATTGTTTTCCAAAATAATGTTCCCAACGTAAGTAAGATCCATTTTAAGCTACCCTTCATGTCAAATGTAGTAAGTTACGCCAACACACTAGTGGTCTAGCGTTCTAGGTTGCGATGAGAGCGTTCTACCTATCTGTATGGCATCCCAATAATCTCTCCTTCTTGATCATTGTACTTTGTATGTAGTTTGTGATCCTCATCGTTGTTGTTGATAATGGCTGTCTATTGATGAACAAATTATTATCAGCAGACAACCGTTGTCAACAAAGGCCGTCCTGTTTAAAAGTGCGCTGCCAGGTGAGCTTGCCTCATTCGAGCAGTGTTCCACTGAAGAAGATCCTCCGACTCGGTACGACGACAAAGACACCATATCGAGAAGACAAACGACGTTGGACCATCGACGTGCGCCACAGGCTCCGTTGAAAACGAAGACGACGAAGCGTCAGCCGAATAAGCGAATACAACCCTGGGTTAGCTTATCAGTGACATAAGACACACTCATGCCGTGCCGAATCATTCATGACGAGGTTGAACGAAAGTAGGCCTACAATGATATTTCAGTGGTGTCTTGTTCCTTTGGAACTCACATCAAACTGGAGGTGCTCCACTATACGCACTCTGCCAAACAAACATGTATATCATGAAAAAGAAAAGCCGAACATGTGACTGGGTCATCCCAATATGCTCTCGTTTTCATGGATAGCTTAATTCTTTCCAAGCCCATCACTCAGTTGAACTCCTTAATATACGGTGATTTGAAATATATGGCGGGATTTCTCTATCACCTCCCAACCATATGTCGACAGTTCTGTCACCCCGATTTCCCTTAATGCACCGAAAGATCGTTCCGAAAAGCAGGGAAAAGCGGTAATGCCGCTACGTTATATTCTAAAATGCCGTTATGCTTTTAGTGATGACGACGGTAATCATTGAGTGGAAACATCGGTAGACTCCTCTATTGATCTCAATCACGCAAACAGACGTTTGCTGGATTTCGCTTGTTCTGTGCACACAATCTTATGGCAGCAGTTATATTTAGTGACAAAATTGGCCACGGTTAGCTTACAAAGTTTTATTGTGTAACATAGGAATAGGCCCATGTAGATAAGGTTATACTACTTGCCAAGGCATGCGGTGCGAAAAGAAACGCAATCGTAATGAGTGACTTTGCCCTCTGATCAACAACACGGACATACAATTACTTGTAGTCCAGACAACGAGCGCTGAGACAGCTACTTTGGGAAAGCTGAGAAAACTATAAATGACCAACATGCGGCAAGTCAGTGAATAAAGTACACGATTTCTAAGCTGGAACCGAACTTATAACGGCCCTGAGTATCTCCATAGATGACGGGTGCAAGAAAGGAATCGAAACAACGTTTTGAGGAGGGCACGACATCTGAGGACGGGCCATTGATGTATTTGCATAAATAAATGTCCTTATGATGCTGATTGAACCTTTAGGGTAAAAAGATTGGCTGAGAGAGGCAGGGTACATATGGTGTACAGCATATGAACCTCCAGGAATGGCATTCATGGGTTCGAAGCCCACCTGAGAATCCGGCTTACGATCCTATCTTAACATCTGCGGTTGTGTTTTTTAAATAGTTAATCGTGCTCTGGGAACAAGAAAATTAGATTTTCAGTCTTTCTTTGAAAGTGCGGCCCTGTTTGGCTAATAACCCCCTTTACATATACTAATTAACAATTTTCACAGAAGCACACCTAAAAATAAACCAACACTATGACAGAACTAAATAATTTTTCCGTACTTGTTTTGTGGGTAAGTGTTCCGCAAAAAAGAGGGCTAGCATCATAAATGTGGTGCTCTTTTTCTTCCTTGAGCAAAGTTAGAGCGACGCTCGTTATAGAGTGCGAAGAAATGAGTGGAAAAGTCAATGGAACACCCTAAAATTTCGCGATCACTAAAGAGGTTGCTGTTTCTTTATGTGGAATTTTCTTGGAGAGGTAGTTCTTTCCGACTGGACGAGCGGCGACGATGCCTAGCACACAAGTCTTTCATTGCTTTCGCTCGGAATATAGTCGTTTACGATGGTGATTAATTTCACGCGCATTCACCCGTCCGACTCTGTAATCGCATGGTCTGGCTTTCGAGGTTCAAAAGGAAGTCCTCCTAACTTTCAAGCGGTAGACTTGCAGATTTATAGCTTTTGACGTTTAATCTTTTTTTCGAGATGATGCTAGATTCAATTTTTGTGA